TCGTAAAATTCACAACATTATTCTAACAATCATCGCGGCAGCGGCGCGGTCGCGGCATGGTTATTTTTGGTGGCGTCGCGGCAGGTTCTCTGTTTTAATCACCGCGGTGCGGTAGCGGCGCGTTAGCTTTTTTATTTTATCGTTGCGGCGCGGCAGCGATCAGTTTTCAACCGCGATGGACATCTCTGATTCAGTTACATAAAATAATAGTACATGTTAGGAAACTCTTCTCGTTTATGACAAAATTTGATTCATTTAATTGTTCGATTCTAATTATTATTTATTCATTTGATATATGTTTTAGGTATTTTTATATGTCTTGAATGTTCTGGTAAACATCGTGGACTTGGTGTTCATTTGTCATTTGTACGTTCAATAACAATGGATAAATGGAAAGATGTTGAATTAGAAAAAATGAAAGTCGGTGGAAATCGTAAAGCAAAAGAATTTTTTGCCGGTCAATCAGATTATAATGCTAATACAATGAGTTTACAACAACGATATAATACACGTGCTGCTGCACTTTATCGAGATAAAATAACAACAGAAGCTCAAGGTAGAGCATGGTCAATAAATTCTTCACCAGCACAAAATCATAGTTCACCTTATGGTTCATCTTCATCAATAAATTATACTGAAAAACCATCGAAAGTAAACTAACTTAGACAATAAAAAAAAACTAATTTTATTTTATTTTTTTTGTTTGTCTTTTTAAATCTATTAGCAAACTTCATCAGATTGGGCACAATTTAAATCATTTGATCATCGAAATGAAGATTATGGTGGTAGTGGTGGTTATCAAAATAGTAGTTCAAATGAACAACAATATCAATCTGGTCTTGGTAGTGGTAATCCAAAATATTGGGGTTTTGGAAATACAAATTATGATACATCATCACAACGTCCATCATCAAATCCTGATTTACTTGCATCATCAATTTCAAATATGAGTGTTAATGCAGCTAAATGGGCTGGTGTTGCTAAAGATTCTGTTTTTCGTTTATCAAAAACAGCTGCTGAAAAAGCTACTGAAATAACATCAAAAGTAACTGAACAAGCTAAAGATGGTTCATTATTAACTAATGTACAATCAGGTGTAACAAATATTGCATCATCAATGGGTAAAATTGGTACAAAAACATGGTCGGATATGCAATCATTATGGACAGGAAAAGATTATCATTCAGCTAATAGAGAAGATCAACGATTGCATAATAATTATAATTATTCGGATGTTGTAAGCAAACAAAAAATTCTTTTTCAATCAATATCATTCAATTTTAAAGTCTTTTTGAGATAAATAAAATTATTAAACAATTTAAATTTCGTCACTTTTCAATGCATCATAAAATAACTATAACAAAATGATGTATTACATTGAATGATATTTTAAAATTTATTTCAAGATTTTAGAATTTTTCAAACATTTAATATCGCACATACAACACAGTCTATGTTACTGAATTTTATATAGTATAACAGAGTTTGATATTTTTCCAAAAACTTTTACATCGCATATTAAGTTTCTATTAGTCTCCTTGGAATTACTATTGGGCAAAATATCAGTCTTTCCTCGTTAGATAAAATATGTGTTTAATTCTTTAAGTCCTGAATTTTTTCTACTAAACCAAATTTGATGAAACTTTGGTGTAAACTAACTAGATAACCGTATGAAACATTAAGTTAACTCACAACTAAGAAAAACACGTGACCATATGATGATTAAAATCTTTTTTAGTCATTATTACGTTTTAATAAAATATTATTATTATAGTTACTGACATAATCATTAGTTTTATTATTCATACACGTAGTTTTTGTGATAGAACAAAAAGTAATTTTTTTATCCAATGAGTAACACAACAAAAGATACATATTATATTCGTCCTGTTCTCTTTCTCTTTTGTACTAATATAAGTGCGTCGACGATAATTTGACGTGTAAGCAACAAGTTGGCGTTTTTCAGAACTTTCTGTGTTACTAATCCTCTTTTCAATATATGTTTCTTTCTCTTGTTACTTATCATCAAATGACGTTCGTCCATTTTCAACTATCATAGTTGCCTACGAGTATAATACTAATAGTGCACTAATATTAGAATGAGTGACGTATTTGTAGTAAATAAAACAATTGACACAATGATATATTTAGAAAATGCAATAATATTCTTATTCAGTTTCTCTTTGACTTTTCATCAATTCTATAACATTTTGTTTTCTAATCAGAAGATTTATATAGATAAGATGAATGAATTTAATCATTTGCAAAGTATTGAACTACCAGACATATACGTAATGGGTACAGATTTTGAAGAAAAGAAAAATAAACAAAAATTTTTAAAATCCAGATTTTAGAGTGAAAATGTTTTATGGCCTGAAAAAAAACTTTACATATTGTACCTTTCAATATCTGTCATACACCCTATCATCCGTGCGGATCTCTGCTAGCTTCTAATATTTATTAAAAATATTTCTTCAAAATTCGAAGATTAGAAAATTCTCAAAGTAGAATGTATGTGTCTTTCATCAGGATTCAAAGAGTTATTAAATAGCTTATGAAACTAAAAACTTACCTATAAATTATTGAAATTATTTTATTTCTAGAATGATTGGGCCTCTTCATATCAAAATCCATCATCTTCATCAACATATAATAATGATTCTGGTTATCAGGATACTTCTAGTAGTTTACCAAATCGTCAACAGCAACAACAACAACAGTCACAATCCAATAATGATATATCAAAACCAGACCGTGATCTAAGTTTTGAATCATGGTTAAATGATGAACCAAGTTCAAAATCATCAACTGCTTCAAGTCGACCTACATCTTCGAAAACAAAAGGAAATACGAATTCATCTACTCTTCCATCAAAACCTAAATCAGTACCAGCACCTAATTTAATTACATTCGATGATGAGAAATGGGCGGATGATGATGATGCTGGATGGGAATCAATTGATACGACAAAATAACATTCAGTTTCTTTTTCTCTTTTTTTTTTTGCAAAATAAAAAAAAATAGAAGGAATTTTAGTTATTCGGTTTTTGTTTTTTGTTGGTGTGTGTGTGTGTTGTTTGTGCGTATTATAAACAGTTCATCTTTTTTTCTTTCTATTTATTTATTTATTATTCCTTTTTCGTCAGGAGAATGTGAAGAGTGCATAAGACCGATTAATAGTTTTTCTTTCCTATTGAAAGGTTATTCAATTTTACTCAATCCAGTTTTGTTTATTTTCTTTTCTTTTTTTTTCACTATATTTGTGGCAATTCCAAAATAAACAAACTCATTGTTGTTTTATGATCTATAAATATATATACGAAGAAAATTCTGATATTATATATCATTCATTGTATTTTAAAATTCTACTTAGCGTATAAGTAAAAGATATATATGTATAAATAATGAAAAATCTCGAATGTGATACATATTAGTATTTCATATATTCATTATATTTTCTTAGTACAAAAATTTAATTGATCAAAAAATCTAAAAGAATTCGTATCTTTAGATCTTATCTTGTTATATGAAACTTTAAAATAAAGTGTGAATAACGATTATATCTCAATCTTAGTATAATATTATGTAATTTTATATGCTATATTAATATATATATATATATCTAATCTTTTTCTAAAGAATAACGCATAAGTGAATGATATGATATCTGAATTTTCTCATAATTTTATTATCATATCTATCATCAGCATTGATAAAAAAAACGAATAAAAGATATTTATCTTTATTTCCAAGCAACATTGATTGATGTTATACTATTTAATCCTTTTGAAAGAGATACATTGTTTCGCTTCAACGGATTGTCATTGCTTTCGTAAGAGCACACACATATATATATATCGTATACACGTCATTGTCTATCTATTATAATTAAAAGGTAGGTTTTGAGATCAAATATATACATCTAATACGTTCTTGTTTAGTTTTTTTATTAAAAATTTGGACTGCTTCGTAATGATAGAAGCAGCTGCAAAAGATTAGAAAAAAAGAAAATTGATTCAAGTGCATTTATTCCTAAATGAAAGAAACAATATCAATAAAATAGGGTGTGTCTTTCAATAAGAATAATCAATAAAATATGTTTTTTTTTTCTGTTTCTCATTACATCACGTGAATTTTCATCTATTAAAATAAAGTATCTTGTGATAGGTCTTATGAAATTTTTCTTTTCAAGAATAAAATGAATCATGAATATTTATAAATGAATACGATTCGCTTAGTATAATATATGTATTAAACAAGTCTTTATACAGTTCTAATTATATATATTCTTCGTATTCGACTAAAATAAGAAAAAAAAAAATACGAAAATTTCGAATATGTGGCATGTACAGACGAAAAATTTTTCTTCCTTTTATAGAGTGACTATTTATTTAACGATATGTACATATAATAGAAGCTATTTTAAAATTATACAATCCAGAGATGATTCAGATTATTGCTTTTATGTTTAATAGCAAGTAATGTCACATATCCAAAATTTTGGAGATGCGCCCACATCTCTCGCAGGAGATGTGGTCATTTTCCACTGAAGAATGTATCATCTTCTTTAGAGATGCACATCCTCCGCACCCACACTCACATCTCTCGCAGTAAATGCCGTATCTCCCGCGCTAGACGTGCATGCATCTTCAAAATTTTGGATATGTGACACTGCTGGCGTAACTTTCGAACAGTTCTATATATTCAAGGTCATTTTATTCGTCTTTTAAATTACGTCAGCTATATTTGATTCATGTTACTTATTAAATCATTTAAATCAGCGAAGCTTAGAACGGTGACAGATGCTATTTCAAAGAAAGAAGGAAATGAATACTTTCTAAAGCAAATGTCGCATTTCTGTATAATTCTATGACGTTAGAAAGAAAATGAATATATGACATAAAAATTGATCGATCTATATAATAATTAATAATTCTATCTTTTAATTTTATTTTTTCTTAAGAGTAAAAAAAACAAAAAGGTAAATTTCTATACGGATAATGGCATGTCCATATGCACGATTTATTGAACCAGAAGATGAAACAACAGCAACAACAACAGCAACATCAAAATTAACAATAAATGGTTCTGTTAATAATGATGCACTTGCCGATATTTTATCATTTACTGGTTATGGTACATCAAGTTCAACTAAACCTGAACTTAAACGTTTACCATCAAGTGATGAATTAGTTACATATGGAAATTATTTACAATTAAATCTATTACTTAATTCACAAGTTTTATTAAGTGCACAAAATGATCAAAATAAAAATCCTGTTCATGATGAACATTTATTTATGATCATTCATCAAAGTAAAATTTTGAAATAAATATACAAAAAAAAAGAAAATTTCTTTTTTTGTAAAGCATTTGAACTTTGGTTTAAACAAATTCTTTGGGAAATTGATTCTCTTCGTGAAATATTTGGTAATAATTCAATTGATGAAAGTCATATGTTTGTATCAATAAATCGTCTTCAACGTTGTGTTCAAATATGGCGTTTATTATGTGATCAAATACTTATATTAGAAACTATGACACCATTAGATTTTATGGAATTTCGTTCATATTTATCACCAGCTAGTGGTTTTCAAAGTTTACAATTTCGTTTAATTGAAAATAAATTAGGTTTAACAGAAAAATCACGTGTTTTATATAATCAATTATCATATAAAAATGCATTTCCAAGTGCACATGAACAAAAAGAATTAACTAATTCATTAGAAGAACCAACATTACTTATGGTTATTGAAGTAAGAATATTTGGCTTTTTTTTTTGAAACAAAAAAATAGATATATATATATTTTTTTTTAGCGATGGCTTGAACGAACACCTGGTCTTGATGATACAAGTTTTAATTTTTGGGAACGTTATAAACGTGCTGTTGCTCAATATATTGATTATCTTCAATCGAATGCTCAGGTTTGAAATAAAAATTTTTCTTATAAAATAAATAAATATGTTTATTTTTGTTTTTATTTAGGATGAACCAAATCCAACAGCACGTATAGCAGCATTAGAAGATGTTAAAAAAACAGCGGATACATTTCGTTCATTAATTGATGAAAAATTTCATCAACAATTAGTTTCTAGATCCGAACGACGTATGAGTCATCGAGCTTTACAAGGTGCTCTTATGATTATGCTCTATCGTGAACAACCACGTTTTCAAGTTTGTCATTATTTTCTTATTAAATAAAAATTTAATATTAAATATTAATTTTTAATTTAGGGTCCTTATCAAGTTTTATCATTATTAATGGATGTTGATGCATTAATCACTAAATGGCGATGTAAGTTTGAAAAATTCGAACATAGCAAATATCCTACGGCTTTCCATTGAAATGTTATTAAAAAAAACCGAAACTAATCAAAACATGGATAAAAATAGCTTCTTATTTATTATGCTTATAAAATTCGTAAAGGAAGGCCGCGGGGGATACAGCAATCCTTCATTTTAGAATACCATACTTTTTTTTTATTAGAAGGACAAAATATTAAAAAAATATTTATTGTCTAGTGTTTGTAGAAAAATTTTCATCTCGAGATAGTGACTTCAGTATCTAACAGAATCTTTGTTCTATCTATCATGTAAATTTAATCATTCTTCTTTTTTTGTTTTAAGATAATCATTTAATACTTGTTCAACGACAAATTGGTAACAAGCAAGGTACAGGTGGTTCAGCTGGTTATAGTTATTTACGATCGACTTGCAGGTTTGATTGAAGTAGAATGATTTTATGTTTGAAAAAAAGTTTTCTTTTTTCTAGTGATCGTTATAAAGTTTTTATTGATTTATTTAATCTTGCATCATTTCTTATTCCTCGTGAATTTTTACCAAAATTAACTACTGAAATGAAAATGCGTTTAGCTGTAGCTAATATTGAACCTTCAAATCAAGATCAAGAAATACATCGAATATCAGGAAAAAATAATGGAAAAGATAAAAATGATAATAATTTCATGACAGACCATGATTTTCATCCAGTAACAGATTAATTCATTTCGATTAACAATTCGAAAGAATAAAAACTGACAAATGATACCTAAAGACTTATTGTTTATTTCTGCTTTTTTTTTGGGTTTCTTACTTCATATATTTCGCTTTGCTTATTATATATTGTTATTTGTTTTTCCTGTATAAAAGACTGAAGATAAAACATTGTGACCTATTTGGTTATGTATGATTCTTGTAATCAATTTCATTTTGTTTTTTTTTTGTTATGGGAGAAAGGGCATTTAAAGTCACTGTGCAATATATCTTCTATGTTATGTTTCATTTTTACAATGTACATTTTGCTTCTCTTTATGAATAAACTTCAGGTACTTAGTTGAAATATATAATTATATCAAAAGTGATTTTGTTTTTAGCAATGATCATTTTATATGATATGAAAAATGTTGAATAATATGACAGTTTTTTTTTTGTAAAAAAAAAAAAATCATATACAAAATATATTTAAAAAAGAAAAAATACAAGTTCAATTTATGAAGTAGTTGTTGATGAAATTTGAGGTAATTTTGGTATGGCAGATGTGCTTGCATTACTTCTTGTATCAGATAAATTTTCATTTTGTACTGTATTAACTGTTTGTGTTAGAAATACATTAGTAGCATTATCATTATTAGTATCAATTGGATGACCATCATTAGCTAGATGTGCTCTACAAGAAAGAAAAATATATAGTTATATGATAAATATATAATGCAATTTTGTTCTTACGCATTAGTAGTTGAATCTGTCATACTTGATCGTCTTGTATTCATACGAATAAATAATTCTCGAAGTACTTGTTCTTTTTGTTCCCAAGTAAAATCAGCAATATTAACTTCAGAAGCAAGATTAGACCTATTTTTTTATAAAAATATACAAGTTTTATGAATTTAAATTAACAAAAAAAAAAAACTTAAGTTTGATTATGAAAAAGATTCTTCTTCTTATTTTTTTCTTCGAGATAGCAATTGAAAAACTAAAGAATCATTATTACTATTATTCTCAATTCTAATATCTTTACATAAGTTTCAAGTTGATGCCGAAAATTGAATAAATTATTAATGCACCATTCGGTATTATACAAGGTTTTTTTTTTATCAATGAATACATTATTATAAAATAGTTTTCATTAATATTTGTATTCATGATATGATGTCATAAAATAATCTATAAATTTATATCTTCGGCCATGAAAAAGATATTGATTGTAATGTATTGTGATTCTTATAGAAATCGATAAATTTTTGATCGTTCATCAATCGAAGATTAGGACATTAATTGATAAATATTTTCATTAAAGTCTCATCCCGATATCTTGTTTTCAATAGTATATGTATTCTATTTAGTTGTTTTCTCATATATTTATGAGTAAATATACAGTGAATAGAACAGGCAGATGATTTTTGAAAGATAACGTATGATGCAAAAGTAATGGCGACAAATATCGACTCTTTTTTTTTCAATAGAAGAGTGCTGGAAGAAATGTTTTTTTTTTCATCAGAAGATAAAGCTTTTTCTCTTCTTTCGAATAGTATATAACTTATTTCAATAACACATTCATAAATGAAATGATATAACAGAAAAGTGATCCAAAATGTTGATCCTTGTATCTCTTTGATCTTGAAAAGAATATTCTTTTTTTTTTAGGAAATTTTCATTTCTATTGAACAATTGATAATTCATGTTTTTTATACATTGGCAAATGAAATGAGATGAGAAAAAATGAAAAATAAATTTGTAATTTTTATATGTATTTATCAAAAACATTTTGTTAGACAATAATGAATTCGATTTTTATTTATTCACTAAAAAGATTTTATGAACTCGTTAATAATAATAAAATCTCGTCTACAAGATATTTTTGACGAATTTATATAAAACTTACAAATTTTTTACGTCAGTGTTTCTCGTTTTTTGTTTCCTTTCGTTGACAAATGTGTGATAAATATGAATAATAAACTATTCGATAGAGAAGAAAATTTCCTATTAACGGATAAAAAAAAAATACTCTTTTCAGGATCTATTTATCGAAAAGATACAGAAATCGACATTTTCTACGATTCTTTTATACACAAAAGTCAGGATTCTTTTAAAAGGAGAAAAAGTTCTATCTTCTGATGAAGAAAAAAAAAAACATTTCTTCCAGCATTCTTCTACTAAAGAGAAATGAGGGCTGACATTTGTCCCATTACTTTTATATCATACGTTACTTCAATTCTGTACAGTCACAGAATTATTGATACTAAAATATTAAATGTATTAGATGTGTTTAGAACTTCTATTTATATTGATTGTTTAGATGTAATACAGTCATTAAAGGCTCATCCACTGTGAAAGTCTTAAATGCTAAGAAATAAACTAACATAAAATTTAAAGATTTCGAAATAATAGTTTACTGTAGTTTGTCTGAAGTTCAGACTGACCTAACTTCTGAAAGACAGTTCACGGAGAAGAACGTTTTATAACATCGTGACCAATTCATCGAACTCAACAAACTGGCATAGAATCAATTAAAAATCGAGACTCATACTTGGAGACATTTCCTCACAAGTGATTATCCTTTCGAATTGTGAAATTTCTACGTTCATTTGATGAGTGCTAAACAGTTATAGAAAAATCTCAATGTGATGAATTTATTATACAGAGAATTCCAAATACTTCAGAACAGAAGATACTAGAAAATTTACTACTTGTCCAATGAACTAATCTCATCGAATATCTTAAGAACGAAGGCTCAAAAAAACCTACTAACTAATGTCGGCGCCAGAAATAGATGGAGAAAACTCTAGAAGGAAGCAACTAGAGACCTGCGACTTTCATCATTGGAAAGAGCGATGTCGAGGGCATCGATCGACATAAAATTCATTAGGTTCGGAGAGTTCTTTCATGGATAATTTTCGATTGGCATTTTGTTCGCTGCCTTTTTTCATCAGTTTTCATAGGAATTTCAACCCAAATTATGCCAAAATGTAGCCTGAGACACCATATATTCCTATAAAAATTATCATGTTCTTTAGAAGCCTCATCGAAGAAAAACGTTGAAAAGATAATAAAAAAATTGTGAAAATTTTAGCTTGAACACGGCGTGTTTGGGGCTACATTTTCATATAATTTGGTTTAAAATTTCTCTGAAAACTGATGAAAAAAGGCAGCGAACAAAATGCCAATCGAAAATTACCATAAAAGAACTGTCCAAACCTAATGAATTTTATGTCGATCGATGTCCCCGACATCGCTCTTTCCAATGATGAAAGTCGCATGTCTCTAGTTGCTTCCTTCTAGAGTTTTCTCCATCTATTTCTGTCGCCGACATTAGTACTCATCAAATGAACATATAGCCATTATTTGACGAATTCTATTTTTAAAAATTCTTTTTATATAACATTTAAAAAAAAAAACTAAACTTTACCATTTAGTTGTTTCTTCTAAATCATGAAAAACATTATTTGTATTAATTTCATGAAATGTTTCATTAAATGTTTTCATTCTTGTATGTTCTTCTTGTCCATGATGAGTATTTGCCATACGATTTTGATATGAATTAAATGCATCTTTATGATATTGTAAACGATTATAAATAATATGTCGTTTAACATTTTGTAATGCATCCAAAAATAATATTTCAAATTCTGAACGTTGTTCAAGTATTGTTTTACCTAATTTTTTAACTTTATTCATTTCTTTTCCTTTTAATTCTAAAGCACGTTGTAATTTAATTATTTCATTATGTGATGATTCATTTTCAATTTGAGATTGTTCAATAAGTTTATTTTTTTCAATATTAAATTCTTCAATAAATTTTGTTAATGATAATTCTAAATATTGAACTTTTTCTTTTAACTACAAAAAAAGCAAAATATAATAATAGAAAAAAACAAAATTCAAAAAATTTTTTGTTACTTCTTTAATTAATTTATTATTTTTTTGTACTTCTTCTATTTTTTCTTTTATTAATATATCATTCATTTCTTTATCACCTAAAATTGTAGTTGCTTGTTTTCTTAATTGTTCTTTTAATATTTGTAAATTATCTAATTCTTGTTTATAAATACGTAAGGATTCAATAAGATCAACATTTTCTTTATAAATATTACGAGCTTTTTCATCTAAAGTTCTATAAAATGAATATAAATTTTTTTTTTTCATTATTTTCGTTTTGTTTACTTTAATGCTTCATTTTGTGCATGTTCTGCTATTTCTTCAATTCTTTTATTAGATTCTTGTTGTAAACGCATTTTTTCTTCGGAAAATTTTTCTTCTAATTTTTCTAAATTTTCTTTTTGTTCACGTACATTCCATAGCATAGCTTCTTTAATCTAAATAATCAAAAAACAGAAGTTAATTTAAAAATAAAAAAAAAAAATTCATATAAATTTACTTCTTCAAGTTCTTTTTGCATTTGAGCTTTTTTCTTTCGAAATTCTTTAACTTGATTAAGTTCATGTCGAACAATATCTAATTCATTTTCTTTTCGAGTTAATTTTTCAGTTAATTGATATTTTTGTCGATCAAAATCATCAAACTTATGTAAAATAATTATATAAAATTTATTGAAAATATATGTTTTTTTTTTTTAATCAAACATACTAAATCTTGTTTATCTTTAGCTTGTTCTATTTGAAGATCTTTTATTTCTTGTTGTAGACGGTCGATCTATTGTGTTGTTTTTTTTTTAAAAGGAATGTTTTATTCGAAAATAATAACAATAGTTTACCTGAGTATCCTTATCAACATCTTGTTTTTTCAAAAATGTAACTACATCAATAGTATCCTTTTCTGTTTGACGTAATTGATCGCGTAATGTTTCATTTTCATTCGATAAATTACCGGCAATATCTCTATATTAACAAATATAAAAATTGTTCAATATATTTACATATTCTATATTTTTCTAACCGATATTGTTTACGCGATGCATCTATCATATTAAGTCGAACTTCCCACAAGGCTGTATTCCGAGCATTCATTGTCAACGGTGAATCATCTTTTTTCTTTTTTCTTGATTAATAAATAAATAAATAAATAGAAATGTTTAATAATTAATGGAAACACAAAAGAAAAAAAGAAGGAAAAAAACCAAGCTTACCCTTTCTTTCCTTTACCGCCTTTTTTTCCTTTACCTTTTTTTGGCATTGCTCAATCTAAAAGAAGATTAATTAACTACAAATAATAAAAGACCTTTTTGTTTTGTTTTTTGCTATTAAATATATTTGAAACTTATCAAAATCAAAAAAACATCAATCGCCATTTTCAATCATTTTAGTAAAACAAGAATCAGCAACAACCTCTTTACACATTATACATATTATAGTCACAGATGTCAGACAATGATGATTATTGAACAATGAAAAATTAAAAAATTCTAATTAAACATTTATATGTAAGAAAAAAAAATAAAAGAACAATTTTCACCAGCGCCTTGAAGCATGATAAATCAAGATTAATGAGTTCAAAATAAAAACTGAACGACATATTAACAATTCTTTTTTTTTTTTTTGTTACGTTCAGCAGCTGGCAACAATGACAAGCTTCATTTGCGTGCTATTGTAAAATTGTTTTATGTAATCGGCTTTATTCTCTGTTACTCTCTCTCTCTCTTTTTTTTTCCTACTATTTCGTTTTAACGGGTTCGAGAAGAACAACAAATAACACTAGTAAAAAGTATTGTTAGTATAAACAACAACGACAACCATTTTTCTCTCTTTCTCATTTTTATTTTGATAGTTTATAAGACTAGAAGTTTTTGTTGAAGTGCTTACTTTTTGGTTTTTTACATATCTCTCTATTGAATGAAGAACAAATTTTCAAAACGATCAATTTCGAATAAACAATCTCATCATCGTTCATATCAAACACATAGTAAACGTTTATCAACACCAATTGATCATACAAGAACTAAAACACCTATTCATACTGATTTAAACACAGAAATTGTGTCTTCAGATTCTTATACACCATGTTTAAAACCTAATATACAATTTAAAAGTCAAAAATTACTTAAACGTGATTTATTACGTTGTAGTAATCAACGTCCATTAATTCTCGGTCCAGAAACATTACAAACATCTCATATTCATCATAGATTTCAACCGACACATTCTGTTGCATTATCATCAACATCATCATTATCATCATCATCATCATCATCAATTGATCATCATCATCATCATCATAATATTCCACGTCGTCGTTCATTATCATTAAATTCTCATACATTTTATACAACAACAAATCGTATTGGTCCATGGCCAGATAATTCAACTGATCGTCTTATTTTAGTTGATAATAATTTATCACGATCAACAAAAAAATTTCGTAATAATAAAAATCCTCGTGTTTTTTCTCCAAAATCATTATCATCATTAACTAATAATACAGGTCCATTTAAATTTTATCCATCAAAACATAATTATATTGAAGAATATCGTAAAAATAAAGGTTATATATTAAATATAAATCAAACATCACAATGTACATCATTATCTTTATCATCATCATCATCATCATTATCACAATTACAAGATTTTGATGATGATCAAATATCTATTATGGGTACATATAGTGGTGATACAGAAAATAATACAATTATAGAACGAACTAATATATCAACAACAAATTTATTATCGATGACACGAACAATTGTTAAATCAAATGATGATATAACAACAAATATAAATCGATTACCAATAATGTCATCTGTTATAAATCAATTAAATATATTTCCATCTATACCAATACGAAATTCAAATTATTTTCGACCAAATCGTCGTACAAAACATCATCCAAATTTAACATTACCAGCATTAACAAATTCATCAATAAGATTTTTAAATAGTATGAATACAGTTGAAAAACTTTATGGTAATCATAATAAGAAAATTTCAACAGAAAATTCATCAAAATTATTATTTATGACTGGACGACCGAAGAAAAGGTATACGAATTTTCTTTTTTTGTTTTTTGTTAAAATAAAATTCTTATTCTAAAAAAAAAACAATAGTAATAGAAGTTCATCTTGTATGAAAACAGATACGAAGAAGGTATGAATAGAAAATTTAAAATAAAACAAAAAAAAAAAAACCTGTTTGAAACTAATATTAATAATTAACAGAAAAATTGATTTGATAACTTTTTGTTCTTTCTTATTTCAATTGAATATTTTATAGATTACCTCCTCTTCACAAGGTTACATTGAACTTCGAACTACCGGCTGCTCAGTAATGAAACAAATCGAACGACCATCAAGTGTTATTATTTATCGTTTACCTCGTCGAACACATATTGTCACTACGAAAAGTGATGTCGGACCACTTAGTTAATTATTATTGAAAAAAATAAAAATAAAAAAAAAGGAAATGTATCATTTGTTTTTTATTTAATCAACAGAAAAAATTTACAAGGAAATAATAAGAAACTAGTTTATTCTCTTGTTTGAAAACAAATAAATTAATTAATTTCATTACTAATGTAATCATTAAGCGCTAAATGGTAACAAAAAAGGAAAATATAACGATTGTAGATCAGTGCTTTTTGATAGATATTCATCGCTTTTAAATTCAAACTTTGTAGATCTAGAATTTTAGCATAAAAGAAAGTTTCCTTGTCGACATATTGAAGTTCGCAAATTCATTTATATTCCATGAAAGAAACTAGAATTATCTGTTTTTTGTCGGAAGTGAAAAATAAAATATTTTGGCAATTATTTTTAATAGCAAGCCTAAAGATTTTTGTTTATTCTAAAAGTTCTTTGTCGAACATGAGAAAAATTATCGAAATCGGTTGTTTTATACAGCAAGGTACTGCATTACAAAACTAATGCATTTTGCAGGTTAGCTTTTGATCAATAAGCTGATATATAAATAGAGCCTCCAACTTTTAGTTCCGAATTCGAACATTGAAAATAGAAAAAACATTTGTCTTTCAAAAACTATTTCATTACTCTGGAAGAACAACTTGAAGTCAAATTATCTAACGAAGGAACCTCTCCAAGTGTTAATCGTCGATCGAGCTCATAAGTAAGACTCGACAAGACTAGCAGAAGTTCGGAAGGATTCGTCCCCATACGCTGTCCTTCCGGAGTTACGACCATTTTACTGGTTTTTCAACATCTGGCAATGGTTTTATAGCGAAGTCTAACAATGGCATTTTGACCTGATATTTTTTTCATAAACAGGTCTCATGATTACTAGAATGTCCTAAAAGTTTCAGATAAAATGAACGTTTTTTTTTTTCTCAAGATATTGAATTTTTAAGGAACGATTATATTTCAAAGGCAAAGATAAAACAATCGAGCGTCTTGGAAACTCAATATCTCGAGAAAGAAACGTTCACTTTAACTGAAACTTTTAGGATATTTTAGTTACCATCAGATCTGTTTATGGACAAAATATCCGGTCAAAATTCCATTGTTGAACTTCCCTATAAAACCATTGCCAAAGGTTGAAAAACAGTAAAACGGTCATAACTCCGGAAGAACAGCGTATGGGGACGAATCCTTCCGGACTTCTGCTAGTCTTATCGAGTTTTATTTATGAGGCCGATCGACGATTAACACTTAAAGAAGTTCCCTCATAAGCATATATTCCAAAAGATCATAAAATAATAGTTTTGAACTCGCCGGAAATATTTGCTAGTGGAATTAAAATAAACAAACATTGTGTTTGAAAAAACTTTCCGCTCGTTTTCCGTTAAAATTTTTTCCATACGTCACACTATGATTATTTCTTTTAAATGCTTGAAATTCTTTTCAAAACATGAATATTTACGAATTCTTGTTGAATTTATTTCATTGATCTTTGTTAATCATCGTAAACGAAAATCAAATGATGTCGCAAGAAGGCAGTTCAATTTTTTTGTTTCTCAATTTTTCGAATGTTCAGTGTCTTCTATTGGTCACTTCGCTTCACATGATCATAACAAAAAAAAAAAAAAAGAAAAAAAGGAAAGAGAAAGAAAAAATAATAATGAATAGCGATTCGTTCTTTTCGCCTTGAGTGTCCGTTTGGGTTCAACCATCCATCCATCTTTAGTTCAATCTTATTTTCTTTGTTCTTATAATATCATATAATCAAAAAGGCATAATATATTTCATGGATTCATCAAAAGGAAATTTACTAACATCAACATCATTAAACGATGGTTTGTTTGTTATTTGTTTTTTAAAATAAAAGTATAGATTTTTAACTCAATATCGTAGGACATAAAACACCTGTATCATCATTAGCTAATACAAGTACGATTGATAATAATAATACAAATGAACATACAACTATGTCTCTGAATCGTCGTGATGGTCCATTAGCACAAAAACTTGCAAGTAAACTTTCAATTGTTGCCAATACAAATGTATCAATGTAAATATGATTTTTTGTTTTTTGTGATAAATATATATATAAATTGAAAGGATGTATGAAAGAAGAGTTTTGATACAATGAAAAATATCTACTTTTCATTCGACTCTCGTCTCTTTTGTTCGTAATCAAACAATTAGTTTCAATTTAGATCATCAACAAATAATCATAATCATTATAAAAGTTCACCAAATGGTAATCATGATGTTGAAGAACAAGAACAACTTAGTCCATTAGGTTATTATTTTGTATTTCAATGAGGAAAAAGAAAATTATTTAATTTTTTTTAATTTTTAGCTGGTACTTGGGGTTTTCTACCATCACCAACCGAAAATGATGAATCATCTTCAATTTTATCTCATAGTCAAACACGATCATCAGAATCGAATTCACCACATAAATCATCAAATCAGAAAAAGGTTTGAATCGATATCATATATTTTATACTTACGAGAGAACTGCTTCAAATGATTCAATTCTATAATGCTGTTATGTTGATCATAAATTAGATTCAGTGAAGCTAGAAAAGAATAATGATCTATGAATCTTTCTTTTCAAGTATAAGTCTTATGACCTTTTTAGCAAGGAAAAGTGTGTACTTCTTTTTTTTTCAGATATAAATATCTGTAGAAAGAAGCGTTCGCTGTACCTGTGGGGCATGTAACTTTATAAGACTTATATGTGGGGAGAATGCTTCATAGGTCTTCATCCTTTCTCTAGTCTCAATGAGTTCTATTGATGAACAAAATATCAGTGCAACTATGAAGACATTTTTTAGACAAAGTCGAAATCGCTTATTTCTATTATTGGAATTTTAAAAAAAGACCATCGGGCAAAATGCTTATAACTTTTGAACGAAGATAGCCAGAGCCATGTGGTTTTCACCATTCGAAAGGGAAGATAAGGGGACGCCTTTTTCTCCAATATTGTATACGACGAAATCATTTAAAAATCTGTCATTCCGATGAAATTTTGGGTCTGACATTTGGTCTAGATAGAGGAACTTCAGATGTATAGTTCAAGATATAATTCGAATGATTATCTTTCCATCTCCTAATGTTGAACAAATAAATTTGTCTATTCAATTGCATGAAAACTATAGAGTTCTTTTAATTTTAAAGCATATTTTCTTACTTTTCGTCTAAATTTCAACTGAATGGCAGACCATTTTTTCGATGTTTTGTAGAAATGACTGATTTTTAAATGATTTCGTCCTATACAATATTGGAGAATAAGGCGTTCCCTTTAGAATGATGAAAACCGCAGTGCTCTAGCTATCTTCGTTCAAAAGTTATAAGCATTTTGCCCGATGGTCTTTTTTTTTTAAATTCCGATAATACACTTATTATCATTCAATAGTTTCTTATAAGTTCACTTTCTATGAAACTTAAATATCTGATATGAAAGCCATGTTGTATGTCTATTTTCATTTTGCTTCTATAGATGGATCAGTCATACTCACGTGAACATACCGATAAACATTTACTAATAATGACCAGTAAAAATACAAATGAAGATTCGATGGAAAGTCTAGGTATGTAGAAAAAAAAAGATATAATCATATGTATAGATTAAATTTATTCATTGTATCTTAATTTAGATCCAGTTAATTATGATGAAGAAATGCTTCGAACACCTCGAATTATTCTTCAAAAAATACAATTTGATGATCCAAGTATGAATATATAAATAGATTTTTTCTAATATTCAAAACTGCCTAAGACATATTTTTATTATATGAATCATCATTTAAATTTTTAATATATTTGAATTTTTATGATGTAAATTTTCAACCAAATCATTTTCTAATCTACTGCTAGTGTTATTATTCCACTTTGAAAATAAATCTGAGGAAAAAAATATCCGATAATTCTTGTAATTATATTAATCTTCCATGCGAAGTTACAGTAACTTTCACTTGTACTATAGATATTAGGTTGTTGAAAATTGTCGTTGAGTAATACTCTATTTCAATATGTTACTTTCTAATCTATTGTCGATAAAGAACGTATAGATATATCTAAGAAAAAGTTCATTGCCTCTCAAAACAGTAGGAAAGTTTTGTCATATCCTACATCTTATTAAACATTTGAAAATTCTAGTATGCGCAGTGACGTATCCAGGATTTTTCAGTATGCTGAATCTCAATTTCCGGGTACGGGATCCGGATGAAACTCATGGAGGGTGATGTTGGATCCAAATAATGGAATTTTATCAAAAAAAATTTACACTCGGAGTTTGCGAAAAAAATTAGCATTTTCCTGATCCCCCTCGAGGATTTTTTGCTATTAGTAGTATCATGGTTTTTCGAATTTCATAGGAAGCTACACCGAATTTCATCGATAGATTTCAAATTTCGTCTGAAAATATGCAACCGTTCAAGAGTTATGACGATTTGAAATTTTGCAAAAATTGTTTTCACATATAGCAAAAACTCAAAAAGTTATAACTCTTGAACGGTTGCATATTTTTAAACGACATTTGAAATCTATCGATGAAATTCGGTGTAGCTTCCTATGAAATTCTAAAAACCATGATACTACTAACAGCAAAAAATCCTCGAGGGGGGAATCAGGAAAATGCTAATTTTTTTCGCAAACTCCGGGTGTAAATTTTTTTTGATAAAATCCCATTATTTGAATCCAACGTCACCCTCCATCAGTTTCATCTGGGTCCCGTGCTCAGAAATCGAGATTCAGCATACTGAAAAATCCTGGATACGTCACTGAGTATGCGCGATCAGAAGAAAAAAAAGAAAAACTTTATCATTATTTAGATCTTTTTCCTGCTGATCTAACACCTGATTTAGTAAAAGAATTATCACAAGAAAATAATCATCGTCAAAATAATCGACAACGTCGTTCAAATAATAGTAGTACAACATCATTAAATCCATCACCAAAAAAAAAACGTCATCGAAATACATCACATAATGAACAAAATTATGAATTTGATGATGATAATAATAATAATAATGATGATGATGATGATGATGAATATCAATCATCAAAAAAACGTATACGTCGTATTGGTTTAATAAATGAAAATATTCATATAAATAATAATCATTCATTTGATGCTATGGATGCATTTAAAAAAAAGACACGTGATCGTTTAGCAAATAAAGTATTAGATATAGATGCTAATCCACATGAAAATACATCTTATAAACAATTTGTTAAATTATTAGATATATTTAATGATGATTATGAACGTCATCATAATGATATAGATCAAATTGATGATGAAAATTATCTTGATTTATTATTATCTGATTATACATTAAATGAAATGGTAATATTATCGGAAAAATTAAAACTTTCAACATATATGTCATGTATTGATTTATTTAAATTAAAACGTTTATTAGAAATTTTATCATTACGTATAAAACAAGGTATTGAATTGAGTCCTATACTTAAACATGATATTAATGATGAACATAAAGAAACTGAAGAAGATGAACGTACATGGAGAGATTTAATATTTGAACGTTTAACAATGTGTGCTAATGCATCGGAAATAGCATTAAATATAATGACAACATTAAATATGCCAAAAGAAATTCTTGTTGAAAATGTTATTGAATATACAGCATTATTTATAAAAGCACAATTAGCTAAAACTATTTTTCCTGAATATGATCCACTTTATCGTAGTGATAATCAATCAAAAGGTAAATAGAATAATGATTAAATTAAAATAATAAGAGAATGGCTTTTCTTTTTTTTTTTCAAAGATCCTTTATTAACAAAACAAAAACGATCGAAAACAACTGGAACAAAATGTAAACAAGTGCAAATACTTTATAATAAAATTATTTCATTATTTCAAGGAATTGCAGATTTAATGCCATTAGGAAAATTTACTGATACAATTATTCTTGCTGTAAGTTATTTAAAGACACCCCCGTCAAAAATGGATTTCAGCCCAGGAACATTCAAATGACATAAAAATTTCAGGATATGTTGGAGCTGGTGAGACATGGCTATGATCAAATTTTCAGCCCTATAGGACGATGTTTAACCGAAATATGCACCAAACAAGGGCCAAAAATAGCTCTTCAAGTTTTCTCTGTGGGTCTTCATTCTACACATTTAATTTCTTCTTTGGTTTGAAAGAGTATGTCAGAATGCAGCTACTTTCGTGACCCTTTTTTTAAGTCTTACTTTTTAGCGAAGCGAAAGTTTAGTGATTCAAAAAACCTCTCTAAAAATTGCGCTGCTTCGATATAGAGGTTATCTTCTATGATAATAAAAAAGCTTATTTTAAAAAAAGGGCCACGAGAGTTGCTAGGCCTGCACATAAGCTTTCAAACGAAAAATAAAAATATTTGACTTTACCTCTTACTGTGATGGAGTTCTACTGCAGATACGCGACGTTCTGAGAAAAACGAAAAATGATTTTCGGTTTTTTTCTAAAAATGGCCTGTTTTTCGAATAGGACGTGACGAAAATCTTCCAAAATTTTTGAATTAAAAGAGATGCTGAATAAAAATTTTTGTCGCAAATGACGGGCTATTTCCCCCATGAATGTCTCTTAATTTCGATGATTCTGACGAAAAGTGACTTTTTTGAGGAGGGGGGGGGGGCCTTAAAGAAAAAACTAATATCTTCTCTTTTTTTATCGAATACTCTGCAAATAAGGGATGATCGATAAATAGCTTTTGAATGGAAGCTATATATATCCAAATGAGCTGTGAGGGTGTGGATGTTGGAATAAGATTAAGGATCTCGAAGGTATTAATCTTCACTCTCCGAAAACATAATTAATTAAATAGAACGTAACAATCTACTGATACTATTCAATGATTGGAAGTCTACTATCGGTGATAGTATGTAAATCAATGCATCTATTCTAATTAAAAATATTTTCTTTCAAAATATTTTATTTTATATTTTTTTCTTCTATTTAGATTTCTTCATTTACTGTTAGTTGTATTTTTGTTGAAAATATTTTTGATTTACAAGCTCATTCAATAACAATTCTTCCTGAATTATTTTCACGTTATGAATATCATCGTGATTCTATTCTTGATGATTTACTTTTATCAATAGTACGTTTACCAACAAGTAAAAAAAGTCTTCGTTGTTATCGTTTACCATCAGGTGAATCAATACAAATGTTTACAGCATTAATTATGCATTTAGTACATTCACCTGTACAAACAATAAATTCTAATATAATTGATGCAGGAAATGAATTAAATTTATTAAATACATATGTTATTGGACAAAATATAGCATATAAATTTTTAACATTATTTTTTCGTTCATGTGGAACAAAACAAGGTGAAGATGATTATCGAATAATATTTGAAAATTTTCTAGCTGATTTACTTACAACAGCTAATCGACCTGAATGGCCAGCATCAGAAATACTATTAACATTATTATCACGTATATTAATGAAAAATTTTTCTAATCAATCAATACCAATATCAATACGTTTACAATCATTAGAATATTTAGGATCAGTTGCAGCACAATTAAGAAAAGATACTATTGAATTAGATGTTTTAAATTCAAGAGATAATCAAGAAAGACTTGATCAAGTTATTCATAAAGTAAAACAAAAAAAAATCATGAAAATAAAATTTCTTATATATAGATTGTTTTTTTTTTAAATAGACTTTATTAAATATTGAAACAGATGAAGATGTATTAGAAGTATATAAAACTGATCCATTACGTTATCACCGTAGTTTAATTATTTATCTTAATGAATTAAGTCAATGTGAACCAACTATTCATGTAAGTAAATCAAAAAGTTTGCTTTTCTGAGTGTTTATCATGATAAAATTTTAAAGTATTCTTGTGATAAGTCTTATGAAGTTCGATAGGGTTTTTCTGATACTGAAAAAAATCTCAAACGGAGTTGTGCTCAAGTGAATGTTTCCAATACAGATTTATTTTCACGTTAAGAATTGAGTTGTTACAAATAAAAATATGTGTGCTATTAGTAATTTTTTTTAATAGTGAAGGAAAACTTATAGAAAGCAATGAAAAGAAAATTGTCATTCCCTTTGTTTTTCAGTACTCATTCGGATCAGGCGAACGGCTCTAGTCGCCTGAGAAATGTGTAGAATGCATCAATCATCAAATACAAAAAGCCGCGGAAAAGTATCTCGTATCTCTAGGACGACAGTTCGCTTCTGATTAGAAAATTTCATTGAGAGTATCAAAGTGTGGTTTCGCTGGGGTTCACAAATGGTTAGCGAGGCAATGTTTCTAAATTTCACATAGGTTAATATTATGGAGATACTGCATTTCGACGGTATTTTAAATTATTGAGAATAGTTTATTGTAAAAGTTTCAAATCAAAACCGACACTCAATGTTTCTGAGAGAGAGAATACGACATCGTACTAAAAAATACAGTATATCGATACAGTGTTTTATCCAGAGGGATGCTCGAGGGAGGGGGCGGCGCCCCCTCCGAAAATAATTTTTCGCCTCTAGGAAATTCAAATCGCCCCTCCGGAGAAAAAATCCTGGATAAAACACTGTATCGGCAGTAATCATGTTATTTGTCTGAACTTTGTTCAAGATATTCATAATCTACCTGATACACATAGTCTTGACTTATAAACAATTAGACACTCAACAACGTTCGCTCATATTGCAAACTTCTTTCAGAGATCAGGTACAGAAAAAAAAAAATAAAGATTCATGTTTGTCTAGTTTGCTAAAATGTTTCATATTGGTCAATGGCTTCGTGATATTAATTTAACAATTGAACGTTTAAATCAAACATTAACAAGACGAGTTAAACCTAAAAATCATGCTGAATTAGTTGATGTTGATATGGATGAATCTATAGATAATAATAAACATTCAAATCCAGTTATAACAGTTACTGATGAAATTGAATTAAAAAAAAATGAAAAAATGACTATACTTAAAATGCTTACATTACCAATAACTATACGTAAACAACAACGATATACATCAGATATTGATTATGATGATATGTGTTTATTAATGCGTTATTTAACATCACATAGACCATTTTTAAAAACATTTGATGTTTATCTTAAACAATTAGCTGCTGTATTTCAATCTGAAGCAGGAACAAATATACGAAGTAAAGCAATGAAATGTTTATGTACAGTTGTTGAAGCTGATCCAACAATATTAGGAAGAAATGATATTAAATCATGTGTTAAAGTTGGTTTAACAGATAAAAGTGTTAGTGTTAGAGAAGCAGCTATTGATCTTATTGGACGATATATTGTACATAAACAATTACTTATATTACAATATTATGATGTTCTTTGTGAACGAAGTATTGATACAGGTAATTAAATTCATCTTTTTTTGCGTATTATGAATTGAATTATGAATGTCTATTCTAACTAAAAACTTTGTGTCTTTTTTTCTTATAAAGATAAATGTATGCACAACAACAAAAAAAAAATGTTGAATATTTTAAACACTTTCAGATTAAGTTTTACAAAATATTCTCTACTAATAGTCGACTTTGTTCTGATAGAGTCGCAAAACCAAAAAAGATTTGACTTTAAGTTAGTATTTTACATATGAAAAGAATATATTTTAAGTGCTGTTATATTTTAAAATTTCTATCAAAAAACGTTTAAAAAGTAATTCAAAGAAACTTTTCTTTTCAGGTGTTAGTGTTCGTAAACGTGTAGTAAAAATATTTCGTGATGTTTGTTTATCTCAACCTGATTTTGTTCGTATACCTGATATATGTTCACGTTTATTACGACGTATTAATGATGAAGATTCTATACGTAAACTTGTACTTGAAACATTTCAACAATTATGGTTTACACCAACATCTAATCATTATGAAGTTCGACAACGTGTTCAAACAATAATTGATGTATTAATTGATGCACAAAAACAAAATAATACATGGTTAGAAAATTTAGTTAAAGAATTTCTTCAAACAAATGATAAACAATCAAATGATGATAAAGTTAAAATTCGTGAACAACGAAAATATGTTTTAAAAGCTATACAAGATATTATTAATGAATTAGTTGAATCTATACTTAAAATTGAATCAGCTAATGATCAAGTTAGTTTGATGAATAATCAATCATATTATGATAATGCTACTTGTTTTGTTCAAAATATTTTCATTGTTTTCAAATTGAAAATATATCTAAATGTTGTTAGAAATATTTTATATGACTTATTTTTATTCTATTAATGATATTTAATCGCACTTTTCCATAGAATTCTTATTACCAAAATGATAGGAAAGATGAATACAACACTTTCAGAGATGTCATGTAAAATCAACTCTAGAATCCTAATAGAACTTAGATTTTTCGAGAATATGTGAATATGAGAAAAGAGAAGAAGCTACATTCACATCTACAACCTCAAGTTACCTTGAATTTGACTTGACCTCGAATGAATTGTATCGTTTTTATATGAAAAAGGCATTGTATAGCAGAAACTACTATATGATCAATTTTGTAATAATACGTACTATCTGGTATAAAATCTCAAATTTGTCTTTTGAGTTCAAATACGATTTTCTTAATCAACATGAAAAATGGGTTCTGTTACATATAATTTGAATTCAATTGAAAAACGAAAACCTTTTTTGGAAATTCTGAGAAACTACAAGGATCAAAAAGATCGTATCGAGGTAGAGCACAAATAACTTCAAGAAAATACTATGAACAAAATAAATTAGTCTTATCAGAATTATGCCCATTGTATTTTCTATCAAAAGTTAATTTTTCTTTTATTTTTTAAGGTTTCATCAAATAAAATGGTTGCAACATTTATTGCACTCTATGCATTAGGTAAAGCAAAACCTGAACATGTTCTACCACATGTATCAACTATAGTTGAATATTTAAATATAAAATGTACATCATATAATGATAATGTTATTGTACAATATGTTGCTAAAATTCTTGAATTTACTGTACCATTAATGAAATCAGCATCATCAAGTATAATTTATTCATTAGAAGGTAGTTTAACAAAATTATTACTCGTTAGTGGTCAATTAGTTATACATTCAAGTATAGCTTGTTTAGCAGCTGCTATTCGTCTTTCAAAAAATGTTGCACTTGTTAAAGATGTTTTATTGAGATATCATTGTAAGTTTAAAAAAAAAAAGATAAGTTTTTTTAATTTAATTTTTGCTTTTTTTTTTTTATTCAGCATTTATTATTCAATGTCAATTAAAAATAATTGAAAATCCAAATGAAGAATTTAAAGGAAGTGCACAATTGGCTAGATCAATTTATATATTAGGTGTTCTATGCAAATATTTTGATATAGAAAGAAGTGAATATGATGATCTTCAAGTAAGAAATTTTTTTTAAAATGAAACAATACAAATATATATATATAAATCATTATAATCGGAAGTCTATATCTATTACTAATTCTAATCGAGTTAGATTTCAGTATAGAAACAAAAAAACCTTCATGAAGTTTTAGAAGAGTTGTTGTTCGAGATCGACAAAATTTTAGATTTGAAATGAAATAATTTCCATTTTCGAATAAAGGGACTTTTTATCTTAGATTCTGTTTTTTTTGTTTTAATAAATTTCAAAAATAGAACGCTTCAATTTCATTTTATATTTGAAAATCAATGCATGTATAATTAGGGATCCTCAGGATAAGCTTTTTTTCATATCCTGAATCGAGAGTTGCCATCAAAATAGTATTACATTTAGAAATACATAGAGTAAGCTTTTTTCGGCGTACCACCGTTAATTTGCAAAGAAAAATATCGAAAAAAAAAATTTGTATGATCTCTGTTAAAAGGTTAGTATTTTTTTTATACATTAAAAAAATGTGTCTTACTAGTCAATATCTTCTAAATCACTTTTCGATCTTCCCAGATCGATGGCGCACGGTCGGAGTACCGGCCACCGTAATCATTGACCTGAGTTTCTAAATCCAAGTGCTTTCTTCAATTTCTGAAGAACGAGCTTCTCATTGTATTAATTTTTACATCGCAAAAATTTGAATTATAATTTATTAAATTATATATATTTTTTTTAATTTAGTTTTCAGTTGAAGATATATTTCAATTATTTATGTTTTTTATTGAACGACCTGATTCCGTTATTAAATTAAAATCTCTTGTTGGTCTTGGTTTTTTTCTACAACGTTATGGACAATATTTAATTGAAGATACTATTCGTCAATTATATAATACATATTTACTTGATCGTCGTCCATCAGCTGCTCAATTACGTTGTCAAGTATTAATTAATTTAGAAGAATATTTTCGTGATTGTATACGTCGTATGGCTGAACAAGACATTGATTATCTTCATTTACCAACAACAACAACAACAACAACAAATATAAATGATGATGAAAATAGTAATGATGCTCATCAAATAACGGGTGCTAATCTTAAAGATACAACTGATATACATTCGGAAATGGCTAGTTCAATTGCTCAATGTTATTTACGTATTGTATTAGATACATATTTAAGTGAAGATGAAATAATTCGTCAATGTGTACGTAAAGTAGTAACATGTATATTAGAACAAGGTCTTGTACATCCAGTTCAATTTATTCCATTTCTTATTGCTATGACAACTGATCGTGATATAAATATTCAACAAAGTGCTGAACAAAATTTACAAGATTTAGATAAAACAAATCCAGGTATTATACAAACAAAAGTTATGCAAGGTTTTAAAATGAGTTATCAATTACAAAAATTACTTTTAATACAAAATAATAATCATCATCAATTAGTCGATCCACAATCAGATATTATTCGAGGTAAATAATTTTGATTATCAAGAAAAAATTTTTTCGACACAATAGAAATTTTAAACCTTAAATCTTCTTTTTCAAAATAGTGTCTACAAGGATTAATCTTAATCATTTTTGAAAATATTTAGCCAATAGTAGAAGAAAATTGATAATCTTGAGAAGATTTAGGTTGAACAATAGTCATAGACGAAGATTCACGAAAAAAAACTTGATTCATCTCAGAGACAAAGAATTTAACGTGTATTTTCATGTTTATTGAGAAAATAATGAATAATTATCATCGGAGATGTTATGTATTCGCCACTCTGATTAATTAATCCTAATGGGAAGAACGCAAAAAATCCAAACTAACACCAATAGATGAACTTTATCATTTTTTCTAAAAATCAAAAAACACAAATTATGTACTTAGAGCAAACCAAAAGTTCGTAGAACGGTTTTAAAGAACCTTATCGGATAAGGTAACCTATTCAGAAATAAAAAAAACCAGATATACCATGTTGTAGAGCTTTTTGAGGCGCGTCGAATGGTATATAATAAATCATGTTTTCATAAGACTTTGAAGGAACTAGAGTCAATTTACTGATAGACAATTACGCACCCATACTCGAACCCTCACCTAAGTATGATAGGTTACTGAATATTGTGGTCCTTGGGATTAGTCGAAAGTATTTGTAAAATATTTTTTCTTACATACGATTTTGCAGAGTTTTTGACGGGCTATACAACCTCATATATGTAGCATCTCCGGTCATCTTGTCAGTGTGGTTATGGGTGCGTAGTCGTCTATCAGTAAATAGACTCTAGTTCCTTCAAAGTCTTATGAAAACAGGATTTACTATATATCATTCGACGCGTCTCAAAAAGCTGTACAACATGGTATATTTTGTTTTTCATTTCTGAATAGGCTACCTAATCCGATAAGGTTCTTTAAAACCGTTCTACGAATTTTTGGTTTGCCCTAAGTATAATAAGCTCGTACTAACGTCAAGAACAACAGTCGAAAGTTACAGCATCAAGAAGATCTCACATTTTAAACTTAATTATCATAGGAATACCCAACGCTCTCGATGTGGGGAAGGGCTGGGGTGGGCTAGCCGCCCTCCCCCCCCCCCCCCCCCCATTTTTGCGGTGTGTCTGCGAAAATTTTTAATACTTTCTGGCAAAAATGTGTAATATAGTCTGCGAAATTTAATTTTACGACTGCAGTCGACTGATCACACGATAATATTAGCGGTGAAAAATTTTTGTTTTGAGACAATTTTTCCGAAGAATTTACTTAGCTCTAGAGGGGGTAGGGGTATCTTCGTCGCGCTACCCGCCCCCGGTCATCACTTTTAATGAAAAATCGGAAAGTTCCTAAAAAAATAAGTGACTGTCTGGCAAAAGAAAAGAAAACTGTAGGCCCCCCTCCCACTCTCAAGAACAATCGAGAGCCTTGGGAATACCATAGACAATGCTCCTATCAGATCATAGATCATGACAGACTTTGTTGATATACAATCACAGTCTATCATGAAGAAAAATCTCCTAATAAAATCAACTTTCTGTGATTGATATTTTAATCTCGTAAGAATTTTAATCCAATAGGTATGACAAAAGTTGCTGTAACATCAATGAGTAATCAACAATTACCATTTTGTTCGGTTAATCATTTTCTTTATTCATTAATTCGTTCATCACGTGTTTATCGTCGTGGTTTAATAACACAATTATTAAAAATGTTTGATAATGATTCTTCAAATACATTATCATCATCATCATCATCATCATCATTAACACTTGAAGAACAATTATTTGTTGCTGATAATCTTGCTTATTTTCCATATCAAGTACAAGATGAACCATTATTTATTGTTGAACAAATTGATTTATCCATAAGTGTTATTGGTTCAACACAATTACAACAATTTCGTGATTTATTAAAACAACATTTAGATTATATTGATGATGATGAAGGTATTGATATGAATAAAATTGAAAATAAATTAAATAATGTATCAGAAATAATAATTGATGAATTAAATCAATGTTTACGTACAACAAAACCAACAATGTTATTATTATTATTAAAATCATATCTTAAAGATGTTTATTATTTAAATGATACAAAAATAATTGAATATGATCATACGGAATCAACTAAAATAACTGATCGACCAATATTAACAAGAAAAATAAATATTAAATTTGAACCAAAAATAATTCTTGATACAATTAAACCACTAAATATAAATGATCCATTACAAAAACGTAAACAAATAATAAAAGAATTTGCTGATTTTAAACGTTATTTACTTGCATTTGATATGGATATTGAAGATACAATACAATCAATATCAGAATTATTACCAACATCATTATCAACATCAAAAGGAAAGAAAAAAGGTAGTAGTTCAAGTAAACGACGAAAAGTTATGATCGATTCTGATGATGACAGTGTTAATGATGATTTTTAATCTCATAATTTCTTAGACAAAAAATAAATGAATAATCATTCATATTGGTGTTTTGTTTTATATATTGAATTTATACCGATGTATTTGATGTTTAAGATTAATGTAGAATATTTACTCCTATTGTATTCTTGTTGTTTTCAATATAATTCATTTCTGTACAGAGAAAACGAAAATGTAGCTAGGTTTTTTTTTTGTTGTTTTTTTTTCTCTTCATTCGATTAAACATTGAAAAATTTAATTTTTTCAATAATATGTGTTTAGACTCAAAATAACAAAAAACAAAGAAGAAAAAAAAAATCATTTGTAATTGTGTATTTATATTGATATTATGTCGGTTTGTTTTTTTTTTGTGTGTTTTTGCGAAAAAATTAATAAATAATTAAAAAAAACAATGAGTTTAATTTTCATGATAATTTTTTTTTGCATACGTTGTTTGTAGTCGAAAATTATTCATTGAAGTTTAATAATATAAATGACTGAATTGATAATGGTTCATCACTAGACATCGGCGTGACTACTGTGACTGTCGTGAGTCACGGTCACGGTCGTGACCGTGACGAAAACCTGGTCACGACAAATTTTCAATTTTATGAGAGAATTAAATGTTATAGTCAATATTCTTTCAATATATATCAATATCTTTTTCTAATTATGCTAACTCAAAACGAAGAAACAATATCAATACAATTTCAATAGCAGCAAAACATGCTCAGTGTTAATATACTTTTAACGGTCCGCGTAGAAATATTTTAGAAGAAAATGTACTAGGAAAACCATTATAATCTAGAATTATACCATTTTCATAAATTTTCGACCTTTTTCAATTTTATCACGTGGCTTACTTGATGATTGACCATTTCTTCAATTGTTCTGATTTCGTTCATTTCCTTTTAGACTTTGGCCAAGTAAAGTTTCAAGAACTTTAAAACTTTTCTCAAAGTAGTAAATTGATCAATTTTTTTCATACATAATCTTCTTCGTTTATCTGTTATATTACTTCTCGTTTCTCCGCAAGAGCCGATTTAAGGTTTTCTAATGTGTTCGACAGTAAAACTTTTCCATGGGTCTTCTATTGTGTCTCTTTTTTTTTACAGATTTTAAACTAAGAAGATTATTCAGAAAGACGAAGCGATTTTGAGGCTTTAAGAAGAAATTTTTAGGATTTTGAAAGCCTAGATAAAATGTTGAAAATACTCAATTAAAGTTTTCAGCTCAATACTCTAAAAGCTAAGCATATTATGGTGTAAATCCAATAATTGCACTTGTCATTTTTCGAAAAACTAAGTAACTGAATGAGGTCTTATACTAAGTCTCGCACATATTTTCTCCACAAGGGTCTTTTGTTATGGAAAGCCTTTTACTATAGGGACCTCTTATTGGGAGAGAAGGATATTCTATTTTGAATGAAAGAAAATAGCCTTTTCAATAGATTCTTGCGTGACTACCGTGACCATAAAATATTGGTCACGCCGATGTCTATTCGTCACATGTTAATAACCATTGGCGTTTTCTATCTAATGCATTCTATAGCAAGATTTCGAAAAAAAAAACAAAGAGTCACCATAATATTCAGGCTTCAGAAGATTTTGTTGAAATTATTTGTAACAAAGCCATTGTAAAGAGCATAAACATTTGAAGAAAATGTGATGATTCCTTACGTTTTTCAGAATTTTGTGCTGTTTAAAATGGCATTGTTGAAAAAAAGCTCTAACAAAGCCTTCTAAGGTTTGAAAACTACAGTTTTTATTGTTTTTTTCAGAAATTTTGCTATAGAATACATTAGATAGAAAACTATATAATAAGCTGAATGTGCATCATCATCATTTATGAATATTCTTCATCATATGAAAGAAAAAAAACATTCATTAATATATTTTTATTTTTATTTAAATTATGTCACGATAGTCTTGAAAAATTTATCAGAGATAATTAACATGACAATCGAAATATCTCAGATTTATACATCAAGTAAATATTGTTTTTCTTTTTTGTCGCTCTGAAGTGCAGAGACAATTGAACTTATGCAAACACAAACAAAGGTACGAGTACATTTTTTAAGTACAATTAAAATGCTTTTAATTGTTGTTTTTTGTGTTTTGTCCTATCGCCACTTCATTTATGATCTGTATGAATGCATAGTGCATTAAGCAGGTCTTATAACTACGGAGATGTTTGTTGTTCGTATAGAAAGCCTATAGAGTATGTTTCAAAAGAGCACTAAAGTGATTTCGTGACATATTTTCAATAAATTTATTAGTAAAATGAATAGAAATACAAAGTTTTATTCAACGTGAAAGTTGCTCTCCTCCAGAAGAGAAAACATGAATAAGAGATTCATTTTTCTGTTAGAATTCAATTTGATGTAAAAAAAAAAAAAAAAGATTGCATGAAATATTTTTCGTAATTATTTTCATATTACTGAATTCATTTTTTTTTTAAATGATATAATACATTTTTCTAACAAGAAATTTATTTATTAATTTAAAAAAGAAAAAAAAGAATAATGAGTAGTCAAAAACTTATTTAATAAAATGTTCATTCATTTTTCAATCTCGTATAAGAGTCTATAGAAATCGAAAAACATCCGATTATTTTATATCATTCAACATTCGTATTTAGAAGTTATGAGTCAATCTTTTTAAGGCGGAATAATTAAGTTTAGACGGAGAAAATTGACAACATTATTTTTGCGCATAAATTAAAGGTAAGATTGTTCTCTAGAATGTGATATAAGAATTAAAAAATTTCGAAATGGTTGAGCATTTTTTTTTTGAAAATCTATGTTTGATAGAAATCAAGAAAATTGATATCAAATTTAATTTACAGACTTTTAAAAGACCGTCATAAATCTGTTAAATCAGAGTTCTAATAAAAATGTTGAACCTATATTAGGAAACAATATATAATTCTGATTCAAACTCAATGTTTTCAAATTTCTATAGATTTTCTTTACAAGATTAAAAACTCAACGAATATTTCTTTAAATTACATTTCGATTATCAATTACATTTAATTTTCAAGGCAAATCTTCATATACATGATAAGTCATAGATGAAGTATAAGAGTTTCGTTGAGATAGTGGAATATTGTATAAAGCAGGTATTGTATTACATGAAGTTGATGATGAAATTGTTAACAATTTCTTCTGTTTATTTTTTTTTCTCAAGAAAAAAAATATTACTAAACCAATAATAAGAATACATAGAAAACCAGCAAGAGCACCAAGTATAACAGCACTAACATTGACAATATGCGTATCTTTTTGTAGCATAGTCGTAGTTTCAAATAATGTTACTTCTGTTGAATCTATTATTAATAAAGAAAATTATTTTATTATTTCATTTCGTTGAATAAAAAAAAACAAAGAATACCTAAACATGTTTCTCCACTATATCCATCAAGACATTGACATATTGTACCATTTTTTATGCATTTGCCATTACCTATCGTTTCACATATTAAACAGAAACTTAAACTACCTGAAAGAAAATATTTCAATATGATTTAAGTATATAAAAATAGAATCTTTGAATAACATAAATGATATTATAAATTATAGGTAGAATTGTTTTGTTTCAAGCATTGTGAGAATATGACAATTGCATATCTGAAATCCATTTTTTTTTTTGAAAAACTCGATTCCATCCGATGGACAGAAAATGATATTCTATAGCTTAAGGTCAATGATTGTCATTAGTGCTAATGATTTTAAATAGTATTATTCTTGTAATTACTTAACAAATGTAATAAATCTGCTTATTTTACTATTGATGATAAAATTCACATAAGTATAAAAATATCATCAAAAAAAATGTTTGTTACTTTAATTTACAACCTCTAGATGAATATATTAATTTTAAAAACTTTTGATAGTATAACTATTCTTAACAAACAAAAACGTGAACTATTTAATTTAATAAATACAGTACAAAAACAAAAGAAAATATAAACACAAACCTGGCATTATTAGAAAAATTCGATGAAAAAAGAACATCATACAACTTTTATTGATTTATTTACTTTCTTTTTTCTTCTCGGTTTCGATTTTTGGAGCCTTTAATTAACAAGAAGACCGATAAGAACAATGAATTTTATCGTATAACAATAACAAAGAAAAAGATGAAAAAATAGAACATAACGGGAAAATGTATTTTCTCTCATATGAATAATTATTATAATGTAGGAAATATTTTTTGTTTTCTAAATTGAAAAATTCAATTCGAAATAAAGTTAGATGCACATCGGAGTTTGACTCAATATTCAGGACGAACAATTTAAAGCATTTTCTGAAGCAATTATGAAAATATTTTAACGTTTATGTAACTTTTTCATTTTAAAGATGTCTGCAAATCTTCGATATTTGAATAATCTATTCCAGTGTATGATGACTTATCCTAGACAAATCTGCAGTTCTTTGCTTTTGACTTCTTTTATTTATTCATTAAAAAATGATCGTAAACAAGATCGAACTCAAACATTTGATTTATGTTGTATGTTTAAATAAAATCGATACTATTTTTGTATTCATTTCTATGACATGTTATTTACATATGATCTATATATATATCGTACAATAACTCAATAGATGATATTTTTTTTCTGAGTGAACAAATATTTGATTTTTTTTTTTTATTCTTGTGTTATTAAAAGAAAAATAATAATGTCAATGATCAAATTATCAATAGAAAAAAAAAACAAAATTATTCTTTGATCATATGATTTTAATGTCATAAAGGTTAAATTCTTATTACAATATTGTTTTGAATAAATTTTTTTTTATTTACTTAGCAATGAATAAATTTGACTGTCGGAGTGTTAAGTTACAATGCTGATTGAAAATTATAAATATGATTAATAATTCACGACTAAGAGAAATTCTATAAAATGGAACCATCGTTTTATTTCATTAGGACTTTAACAAAAAAAATGTTCGTAATAATAACTTACGAAAGTTATTGGATTAATTATTTATTTTGTTTATTAGAAAAAAAAAAATTATTGAGATGCAGTCTTGAAATGCATATAATAAACTTCGCTGCGCATGAAAATACTTTAATCATAATCTTTTTTTTGGTGAAAAAAAGAAGAGTGCCGTGACCCGGGATCGAACCAGGGACCTTCAGATCTTCAGTCTGACGCTCTCCCAACTGAGCTATCCCGGCGATATACAAATAACTTAAATTTACATCAGATAATAGAAAAGTTAAAATACAACGATGTATGACTATCAACTGTCATGATTATTAATTAATATTTGATGACATTATTTTCTACATTCAATATTCACATATTTTATTATCTATCTGATTGACTCATAAAAAAAACAACTAAAATTTGAATGATTTTTATAGTGTTTAATAGAAGATTATTTTGGCGAAGAACTTTCTTGAAAATAACTTGTAGAATTGTAATGAATTAATTTTTTTTCAATAATTGATGTCGATTTTTATATAATATGATCGTGCACATAACTAACTACAATCTATATTTATTCATTGAAAGACTAAAAGCAAAAAAAAACGAGACTCTTATCATTTGCTTCTTTTTTACAACTTATATTTATCAGTTTTATTTTATAACTAAGTCATTTTTTTCTTTTCAAATCAAGATACATTCTAATCTATTTATTGCAATAATAATTCAATCAAAATAATTTATAACATCTCATTAAAGTCATATAATCACAATGATTATAACATAGATAAATTACATCATCGTATCATTTATTAATAAATCTTATCTATTATTAAGTTCAAATAAAAATAATACATTCATATAATTATTATTATTAAAAAAAAGAAAAGTGTACCATTATTTTTCTACGATTAAAATAAAATATGTCACTTGATCAATATGCATTTTCATCTACAGATAATACTGACTATCACATTAAAACTAAGAGAAAAAATAATAAATTACATATTTAGATACTACAAAATCTTCGATAGATAATCTCTTCGGATATACAATTAGTATATTCAAACTATGTGTCACATCGAATTGGCTTTAAGCAAAAACATAAATCTGTTCTTAAATTATAAAAATTATCAAATCAAATTAAACTAGCGCCATCTTAAATAATTCAAATATTTACTATAGAAAAAAACTAAATTCTGATTAAATTTCTAATGAAATATAATCTCAAAAAAAAAGCAAAATATTTTTCATTAAAAAAAAATTAAAATAATTGAAGTTTATTGCTTAGTTTCAACTAAGATAATGGTATTAAATTGACGAATCATTTCAATATTTTATCGAAACAAAGAACACCTTGAGAACAAAAGAATGAAAACGAAGACAAATAATTCTTTTTTTTTTTTTCTTTTCTTCTTCTATTTATTTTATTTCAGATCATAGAAATACATTTTGTAAATAGTTTCTCTTGAAATTTGAAATCTCTTTTTTTTTCTTTTGTCTTTGTTTCATCGTCTTTTTTTTTTGCTCTTCTCTATGAAATATGTTACCAATGTCATCTTCAAATCATCATACACATATGGAAACAAGTTGGAAAACATATTATGATGCAAAAAAAATTCTTCGTCAAACTGAACAACGTTTAAAAGAAACACGTGATTATTATCCACATGTTCATTTAAATAATCATTATGATAATAATAATGATTTATCAACATTATCATCATCATCATCATCATATTTATTACATGGTGATACATCATTAATTCATGCTGGTAATAGATCAATATTAAATGATGATCGTACAATTAATACTAAACATCAACAATTACTTGATTCAGAAGCATTACAAACAATTCGTAGAAAAATTAGTAAACAAAAATTAGCAGCAGGTAATTAATAGAAAAAGAAAACACTTATTATTATATTGATACATATATATTGTTAAAAGAGATTTTGTTTTTTTTTTCATATGTTATTGAAATCTGATTATATTTACTTTTTTGAGATATATGGTGTTCAAGGTTAAACGACAAATAAATTTTTTATTTGATCATCAAATGATATTAAAAATATTCAATCTAGAACTTGATTCAATAAAATTTTAGGAAAGATTATATAGATTTGTTTTTAATAATTGAACGTTTTTACGTTAGTTTGTGACAATTTTCTTAAGTTTACAAAAATTTTATTGTAGGATTCTAAACTACAGGGTGTAATATAACCATTACGCCCCCCCTCTCTAGAACTTAAAGTACAAATGATATCAAAGAGTTTTATATACCAGATTAAAGCTCGTCAAAAACTGGATTTATGAGTATAATTGATAGATCTTAGAAAAATTATTGCCTATGAAATTCCTGAAATACGCTCGTATTTTACGATTTTCATCAAAAATAATAGCAGATTTGTAATCTTCATAAAAAATTGCATCTATAGATATGTCATTTGTATTTTTCGATGAAAAAAAAATTTTTTCAAAAATCCTGAGAAATGCGCATTTTATGCCTAAAATACACATCACGCAAGGTTTTTGAAAAAATTTTTTTTTGTGTCAAAAAGATTCAAATGACATGTCTATAGATGCAGTTTTTTATGAAGATTACGAATCTACTATTATTTTTGATGAAAATCGTAAAATACGAGCGCATTTCAGTAATCTCATAGGCAATAATTGTTCTAAGATCTATCATAAATCCTGTTTTTGACGAGCATTCATCTGATATATAAAACTCTTTGATATCATTTATACTTTAAGTTCTAGAGAGGGGGGGGGGGCGTAATGGTTATATTACACCTTGTCTATTGCCTAAAACAAAAATTTGAAATTTTATTAATGAATTATTCATATTATATTAAAATTAAAGAAAAGATGATTTAGTTGAATATAATTTTTACCATATAAAATTATGATTCATATGAAGAGCTTGAATTTCATTGATAATATGATATAATGTACTCTTATGTAAATATACTTTCAAGTATTGACTAATGTTTGAGTTCGAATTTCAACAACAGTAAAATTTCGATTATAAGAAATTCTGAAAAATTAATATCATGTTTAATTCAACAAAGTTTGTTGTTATTCATTCGAAATATTATTCAAAGATAATAATTAACTCAAAAAACAAAAAACATTATCTAATTCTTTTGTTTTTTAGAACGTCGTGCTGAAAATATATTTCATTCTCAATCAGATGCTGGTCATATGTTTGAATCATATCAACCTCATAGTACATATTCAACTTCTGCTAGTTTACAAAATCTTCATTATTCTCCATATCGTCAACAACGTATTTCACCTCCAAAATTTCAACCATCATATACAACACATCTTTCTCAATCTCAATCATTTCCATCAGAACTTGATAATGTTCTTCGAACTTCGACAAATTCAAAAATTTTACATAAAAATAATGATTTTGAACGACAAACAATTCATCAATCAAATATACATAAAATACCTAAACATATATCGAGTAATTTTATATATATGAATAATTAATATTTAATTATTTTTGAATTCGATTATTTTCTAGAAGATAATTATTCATTAACGAATGGTCGATTAATTCAACAACGTAGTACAAGTGCATCGAATAGTCTTACAACTAGATGTTAGTTTTAAAATTAAAAATTTATTATTGATTTTTCTTTTTTGGATCAGATCAAGATCTTCCGTCATCTCATTATTTAAATTCAAATGATAGTCAACGATTAAAACATGTTGTTCGTCATGTTGAATCTTCTGCTTATACTTCATCAGGTTTAAGTGCTAAAACAAGTAAGATTAATTATTTTTCTTAGTTTTATTTTTTTGTAATATAAGAAAATTTTTAGATTTAATAACATCAGAACCAATTGTTGCTAAAAAATCATCATCAATATCTCAACAAGAAAAATTATTAAAAAAAAAACCAATAACAGAAATAATTAATAAACGAATAAAAACAGATATTGAAGAATCATTAAGTTATACAAATCAACGAACAGAAAAAATATTTAAATCAAAACGTGATACTAGTTCGTAATTATTTAAATAATTTTATCTCGAATTCTATATTAGAAAGTTTATTTCTATAGGAAAGTCTTATTCCTTTTTGTCTTACAGTGAGGGCTCAAAAAAAGCATGTACATTTTTGTTTTTACGCATAAACGAATAATAAGGATACTCTGAAGATTTTCGCTTCTATCAGACTTTGTAGAGCTTTTTTTGCTGATCATTTTGGTAAAAAAAATATTTTTAATTTTTATTGAGTAATGACGATGTTATGGTCAAAATACTAAATACTGTCATATAAAGTATAGAAAAAAGTTTAGCACACTTTTAGTATTTGGCTAATTTTTACGTTATTTCACAACATCGGAAAGATGTCCTATATATATCATTCGACGCAGAATTTAATGGGCTACATTTTGGTAACAAGCACTTATACTTATACTGCAGTTAATTAATTAATTAATAGTTAATTAATAAAGTAATAGTTAACTAATAATTAATAATAATTAGCGATTAATTAATAAAATTTTGATTTTTTTTTTTCTTTTTAAATTCCAACTCTTTCATATGAAAGAGCATAAAAAACTGAACAAAACTCTATAATTACTATTTGAAAAGCAACGAATTTAGTGAGGTTTTAGTGTGATTTTCAGAGTATGTTCAGTTGTAATTAGATATAGTATACATTACAGTGTTTAGTATTTTGACTATAACATCGTGATTACTCAATGAAAATCAAAAACATTTTTTTACCAAAATGATCAGTGAAAAAAGCTCTACAAAGTCCGATATGAGAGAAAATTTTCAGAGTATACTTATTATTCGTTTATGCGTAAAAACAAAAATATACACGCTTTTTGGAGCCCACACTGTATCAAAATCTTCTTGAATCGTTTATTAACTGATTAAAGATAAAAATCATGAATAATATCTATAAAAAGAAGTCTATTATGTTTTTTTTTAGGTGCGTCGAAACCATCTAGTATTATTACAGAAAAAACCCCATTAAAACCACCATTACCGAAACGTATATATTTTATTGAATTATGTTTGTAAAAGTTTGATGCCTTTTTTTTGTTTATTCTATAGCAAAATCTGATGAAGAAAATAAAAAATTTGAAGACTTAATTCAAAAAAAAACGTCAACAACATGATGAAATTTTATCAAATGAAAAATATTTAAAAGATGAACAAGATAAAATACGACGAGATAAATATAAAAAATTCAATGAACCAATTAAAGAAAATTCTCATCAATCATTAACAAAAAGAACAACATCAGCATTTACACCTGTTCGTTATTGTTTTTTTTTTTCTTAATTTATTGTCATAATTTTTAAAATTTTCATAGATAACACCAAAAGATTTAACAGAACAAACACGTCAACGTTTAGTTCATTTGCTTGGACCATCTTCAGATTATCTTACAAATAAATCATTGGAATCACCATCTTCACTTGAACATTCATCATCATCATCGATTTCTTCATCTAATGATTCCGTAGTTGAAGTTCAACAAATAAAATCGTATGTTCTTATATTTTTCGAATAGAGAAAAGTAAAAATTTATATTATAGAAATGATCCTATAACAGTACGATCACGTTCAGAACCACCGATACAAAATGGTTATATTTTTTTTCTTCAGAATAAAGATATTATTAATTTAATAAATTTTGTTTTGTTTTTTTTTCATATAGGTGGTACTAATAACAATGTACATCGTCAGGAAAATTTACTTCGATGGGCTGGTAATTTAACAAGAGATTGTGATATTGTAGAAAATAGATTTAAATATTTACGATCAAGTATGTATAAAGAAAATCTATTCTCTAATTAGATACTATAGGTCTTTGGTGTCAAGCTTAGATTAAGAAATGCAACATATTTGTTTTTTGTCTATCAAGTCCTCTAATAACTAACAAAGGAAGTAATCGCTTTTGACTTCAAACATACTGCATTTACAATAGTTAAAAGTAGCCATAGCAACAGAAAGAATGATATTTCGAATAGTTCGTTTCTATCCTGAAATTCTAGTATAAAATCTACTTATTTATATGAGTAATGTAACGAGATATAGTTAGACTAGTGATCAGATCTAAAACATATGCGAAGACCTATCTCTATGCCAAATTTCAAGTTGATATTCGAAAATAATATCTTCATAGCAATAAGCGAACGGCATGAATTCATTTTTAGAATATTTATAGGTCATTTGAACCTACACAAAAGCAAATAGTTTTAAACTAAAAGCAATTGTATAAAATGAAGAAATTCTATTATAATATTAACAGTCCGGATATGAAAATTTCAGACGCGATGAATAAAACCATATATTAGTAATCGAAACTACTATATAAAAATAAATATTCAAATACGTAAAATATAAAAAAAAGAAAAACGTAATAGTAACATGTATTACGCATGTATAAAATGAGTCATCACTTTTATTGGTTTCATAGTTTTTCGTTTTATATATAATAGAACTAATTATAGTACATATTAATCTTTATATAATAATAGCCGTAATACATAAACAATGAAAAATGTTTTCTAGAATATTTGTTTAAAATCATTTACTATACTGTTTTGGTATATATATCAAAATATCAAATTAATATAATATCAGTAAAAGTTTCTTTATACTATCTTAGAAACTTGTTAAAATCATCTAACTTGATGAGAATACATAAACAAAAAATGAAATCATTATATGAATTATAAATATACTCTACATAATGAAAAAGTCTCGCCTTAAGATTATTTGAAAAGATTCTCTCGAGAAAAAAATAAGAATTGCAAACAAATTCAATTTACTTAATATATATATAGATATATTAATCAAATTGATTATTAGTTGAAATATAGAATAATTTCAATTAATTTTAAAAATTTATAAATATATTATTTAGATAGTACACAACCATATGATACTATTTCATCATTATATCAACATGATGATGGAAATTTACGTTATCAAACATTAAATTCTGAAACAATAACACATTTAAATCAATCATTATCAAATATAAATGATCATCGAGATTTATTATTAGAACGACGTATATATCGTGATCGTGCTGCAGCTAAAATTCAAGCAGCATATCGTGGTTATACTGTACGAAAATCTTTATCATGGTTAAATGATAAACAAAAATATTTACATGATAAATTTAATAAACGAGTAAATTTTATTTTTCTAAAAAAAAAATTACATTAAAAAACTCGATTTTTTTTAATATTTAGCCAATTCATCGAGATACAACATCAATTAATATTGATATACGTTTAACAAACGATAATTTTCCTATTGATTCAACACATCGACGTTATGAAAGTATGATGAAAATTTGTTTTGTTTTTTTTTGGTTCATATCCCAAAGATAGAATCTATCACGATTTTTCATCACCAATAACAAGTAGTCTATCGACAGTAGAGCCCGTCGGGTCGAAACTTTTTGGCCCCGGATCCCGACTCGGACCCGGTGAAACCCAACTTTGATATTATCAAAAAAATTTTCTAAATCCCTTCTTAAGATAGAAGAACCGTAGTCTTCTATTATATCCAAGCATACAAAGTTTCTAGGATGATCTTCGATTGTATGTCATTTATTTTTATAATTTTTAATTAAAAACACTTTTCAGAAAGCAAAAAGAGTTTAAGGATTTGAGAATAAATTTTCATGGTTTTACAAGTTCAGAAATAACATTGATCTTAGTCTATTAAGATTTTCAGCTCAAAGCCCTGACAACTAGGCACACATTTTTGACATATAGACACTAATTAAATGTCTAACTTTTCTAAAAATAAGTTAATTTAGGACGCCTTTAGTATGACTACAAGCATTGTTCCTTCAATGAGGATTTTCCGATATAGTGGCTCGTTTAATATAGGGGGTCTTCTATTGAGGGGAGAGATTTATTTGCTATTGGATAGTCACTCCGAGGATGTCGGATATTTTTGTCCGTCTTTTTGCATTCGGTGACTAGCGAAAGCTATGCATTTCTCATACCATTCGGGTCCAAACTTTTTTTGAACCCGGACCTGAGCAGGCCCGGGTTCGGGACCAACCCGACGGGCTCTAATCGACCTCTATTAAAATACAGTACATAAATAATGATTTCATTTTTATTACATTGATTAATTTTCATATAATTTAGATGCATCAATCAATAATTATCAACAACAATCTATACGAAAAATAACAACATTACCATTATATTCTGATGATTATGATAATATTCCAAATGGATCAATATCAAATTTATCAACACCAATTAATCATAAACAAATACCAATAATAACTGCAAATTATTTATTAGATTTACCAAATACAAATTCTTCAATATTAACAACATCTATACCTTCACCTGAATCTCATGTACCATTAGAAAATGAACGTCGTCGATCTATATCACCACCTTTACCACCACAAATGTCTCCTGATAATGGTCGTCCACTTCCACATTTAACACAAAATTTAATTGATGAACATATTGATATAACAAAACGATTAAAAACAAATTTACGTTCTCAAGTAATCAATTATTTTTTTTTTTAATTTTTTTTCTATTCTATTTATTTATTCATATAGAATTCTCCAGTTAATACATTATCTCAACAACAATCAATACGAAAGTAAAATATTTATTTATTTTTTGTTAAATTATCTATTTTATTAATATATTAAAGATCTCCTATTCAACAATTATCATCATCATCATCATCATCATCATCATCATCAACAATTAAGAATCCAAAACGTCGATCACCATCTCCACCACCATTACAACAACAAACAATAATAAATACACATTCACGTCATCGTACTCCACATAATTCAAGTCCTCCAACATCTTCATCTGAATCGTAAGAATTATTTATTATTTGTTTCACTTAACATATTATTCTACTAATGTAATATTTAAATTATTTTTTTCATGCGTCATTTACTAAGATATGTAAAAAACTAAAAATGTCATATACTATATTAGTTGTTAATTTGATACATATGAGTGAATATGCTATCTTATTATACTATCGAAAGTCAATAGCCTAAGAAAAAATTAGATACTTAAAAAAACCTGATTTGTTCAAAGTATCTATAACTGTCGTATATTGTGCGGGTAGAATTAATAGATCCATTCATTATTCGTAAGCTCTAGATCATTCTTTTTAAAGATTTAGAAAATTTTCTCTACTGAAGGAAAAACAAGTTAGATCAGTAACTAAGAAACAGCTATCATTTTGAAAAAAAATATATTTGAAGCTTTATGAACATCAAAGAAACATATTGTTTTGATCAATTCATAGCTATTCTTATTCTACACACTGAAATATCATAGTACAATCGTTATACAATTTTTTGATAATCTGTTATTCTGATACTTTTCTTTTTATTGAAATATAATTATGTTTAAAATGTATACAATTAATCAATAGAACGTAAATATCGTGGTAAATTAAGATTCGTATGAAGATTCAATTTTGATCTTTTTATGTCTCGATGATTATTGATCGGTTGTTGAAATGTATTATCATCATTGGCAAGTGACAATAACAATGGATATAAATTTGTTCCTTGTCGTTCATTATGATTACTATTGTCATAAGCATTGTTTGATAAACCATTTGAATCAATCATAGCCAATAATTCTTCATCATATAAACTTGGACGATGAATTGAACCAGTATGAACTAACAGACATAATGACATGTTAAGAGCGATGAGCAAAATAAGATTATAACGATTTAAACTAGCCATTGTCAATAATTGTTCTTTTTTCAATAATTGTATGTGTAGATTTCTTCAAATGAGTTCTTTATTATATATACACTTGGTTTTAAACAGACCCTTCGCGAGAGAGAGAGAGAAAGAGAAAGAGAGTAATTGTAGGTGTTAGAAAAAAAAAATCTCCCTAGAGAGGAAAACCTAGTTACTGAATATTAGAAAAAAAATAAAAAAAAGATAGAGAAACATTTTTTTTCCTCGAAAATCACCACAGAGTGTAATAAAAATAAAATACACATAAATGATTGAACGATGTAACATTAATAGAATTAATATACACTAAGTTTCATTTTTTCGTATGTCTATTTTAGAATTTTAACAGCACGTGAAAAACGTGTAAGACAAAAATTTAATAGTGATATTGAATTACAAGCATATGAAAAACGTCTCAAAGATATTGAAAAAAAAATTCGTCAACTTGTCAAACGTGGTATGTGTATTTGGACGTAATAACTCATTACTTTTTAATAATCATATAGAATGTTTCTCTTCATTTTGAAAAAAAAAAGAAAAAGAAACATGATATTCTATCTAGAGATGCATTATTCAGTTAAACTTCTATTGTATTCATTAAGATATTTTAAACTATTGAAAAATATTATTTTCAAGTGATAAAAGAGCATTCTTGAACGTTTGTTTTTTTGTCCTACTTAACTTCCTAATGCTAAATAAAAATTGTTAATCTTCAAAATAATATTCTTATTTAAGATAATCTTATTTTCCTAATTTCTCAAAATAATCCTAATATATTGAAATATCTCATTTAGAAAAATGTAATTCACATTTCTGTTTTAAGTATCTACTAGATGAAAAAAAACTTTCATTGATAATAATAGCTGGTTTGTATAAATTATCATTTTACTCATAGAATAAAGTATATGATTCAATAGAGTGAACAGTTCGAAAATCACATTCTTCACTTAGAATTCATTAAAGACTTTTTGTAGAATTTCACTTATGATCTCAGAACAGTATAAATATAGCATACACATCCATAAGTAAAAGTCTTTTCCACTTCATCTCCCCCCTCACTAATCTTTTCATATCAAATCCTATTAGTTTCAAGTAAATATTGCTTATAAAAAATATCTTAAATACTCTATTTTAATGTAGTGCATGATTACTGATAATGATAAAGAATGTATGTCACTTCATACAAATACATTCTGAATGTTTTCTTACATTATCTATGTTTGTATAATTACCTATGGCATGTATTTTCGAAAGAAGTTTCAAATTCATAACGAATAGAGTTTAATCATCCAAAACTAGTAAAATAGAAAAAACAATCATATACTACAATAGAAATACTTAAGACTATTCTTATAACAAACATTTATTTGAGACCTATAGATTTCTATTTCAAAGAAAAAAAATGTAAGAAGTTTTTTTTATTGAATGAAAGACTTTGAAATATCAACTTATTCACCTTAAATAATATTTTTATTACACAATCATAACTTACTTTTTGCTATTATTAAATGTGTTCAGGCTTCCCGATTGGGGGGGGGGGGTGCCTAGCCCCTCCCAAAACTTGAAAAATACCCAACTTTCTGCGGAAAATTTCATAGTAATATCTGGCAGAAAGTCGATCAAATTAGTATCCGTTCTTCAGTTTCTGCCGAAAAGTCAGGTGAGGCACTTTCTGCCAAATTGTTAGCCCCTTCCACTTTTCAAAACAATCGGAAACCTTGAATGTGTTAATGATATCATTATTATGTCAATTATACGTGCTTATTCGACATTATCATGCTGTTTTCCTGTTTCGATGCGGATGTTCGTGTAGATTTAGATATTAAAAAATAAACACGTTCACTCACATCTATTCACCACTATATATCATATTTTTGCAATTAAAATTGAATTTATTTAATTATTTTCATATGAATAATTATACATTCTAAAAAACTTTTTTAATTATTTAGCATTTGAAATTTTTGATGAAAAACGAAGTATTTCAAGTCCACCAACAGTTACACGTACAACTAAAACTGATTTATTATTACATAATCGTTCAAAATCAACAAATTATTTTCAAGATGAATCAAGTATTAGTGATGAAACATCTATTCATCGAAAAGATACAGAATTGTAAGTTGTTTTTTTGAATTTTTTTATTAAATTTTTTTCGATTTTAGAACTAAAAAAGATACTAATACATCATCAAATTCAACTCAACAAAGACAATCAGGTAAAAATCTATATCAAAAGAACAAAAATTAAATCTATTTTATTTTTATCGTTTTTCTTTTTAAAAGATGTTGTTACATCTGATGCAAGTGATCTTGAACGACGTGTACGTGCTTATCGTGAACAATTAAAAGCAAAAAAATTTGAACTTGAAAAATTAAAACAACGTAAAAATAAAGAAATTTTACGACGACAAGAAGATGAATTAAAAAAACAAATTGAAGTAAACATTTTTTTCTATTATTTATTATTTTCAATTAATTACATATTTGTTTTTTTTTTTTTTAGTCATGTGATTATGAAATTCAAACATTACGTTTACAACCAATTCAACAAGAACAAACAGTACCTATTCCATCACCATATATTCATAGTAATACTAGTAGTCCTTCAACAGAAAGAAAAAAATCAAATTTATCAAAATCTGTACGACAAAAAAAAAAAAATCTTCTTGAGTTAGAAATTTTTTTTTTTTATGAATTTTCTAGGATAAACAAATTCTTTCACCAAAACAAAATATATTTGAAGAACGACCATTAGAAACACCACGTGATGAACGTGATACACAAGATGATGCTTTATCAATATCAGTTACAACTGATTTACCAAATGAATTTGAAATTGATCATGATAGTCAACATATAAATATTAATAATGATAAGTACGTATTATTTAATCTTCTAAAAAATAAAATTTACGTCATTCATTTCATTTAATATATTAACAGACAGTAGACGCTTAGATCTTAAATTAATTTTTTATAAATGACTATATACATTAGTAGAATTATTTTCTTTCTATGAACTCTATTGTACGTATTTCATATCATAAAAAGATGTATCTCAAAGTCAAATAAATATGCGCTCTTAAAATTAACAAGTATCCAATTTCATTCAAAAAAAACATAGTGCTGAGAATAGAAAGATTAAATAATAAACATATGTTTTAGAACATTATCTTGTATGATCTATGTTGATTGAACATTGATAACTAAGAATACGATGTTACTTTGAAGATCGGATTGAGTTTTTAGTTATGACATCATCAAGTTGAACTTGATGCATATTTATAATCTATGTATTTTTACTTTCAAAAATAGATTTCCGCTTGCTCTCACTCTCTCTTTCGGAAATTTAAATCATTGTTCTGAAAGAAAAAAAATTTAAGTTAAAACAATTGACATAATTAAATGATATACTTTTTGAATATTCAAATCATTTTATACCTAAGAATTCAAAATTAAAACAATATAATTTATACTTTTTAGACAAATAACTGATGTAAATATTTATTCTTCAATACTATCTAAAGAAAAAGAAGATTCTATATCATCATCTTCAATAACATCTGAAAAACATACTATATCATTATCACCACGAATATCTCGATCACCTTCACCACCACCACCACCACCATTAGCACAAGAACCTATTAAATCACCTTTACCATCAGTACATGAATATATTAAATCATCATCATCACTTGTAGAAGAACGTCTTAAAACATTATCACAAGAACAAATATTTGTACCTATAAATGAATTAAAACAATCTGAACATTCATCAATAAATAGTGAATATGGTGAAGATTTTTCTGAAGTTAGTCATTCACCAATACATACTTCAGTAAAAATTCAAACAAATGATATTGAATCAATAGAAGATGATATTCATAATAAATCTTTAAAACATGATTCAAATAAAAGTTCATCATCAAAAACAAGTGATGATGAACAATCTGAAATACTTGTACTTAATATAAAATCTACAAATAATATATTAGAACAACAAGATAATAAAGATAAATTATCAACATTACCATCACAAACATTATTAATTTCAAAAAAAATTGAATCTGATAATACAACACATGATATTAATGAAAATGATCAAGGTAATAAACATCTTGAACAAGATAATAAAATAGATAAATTAACTGAAATATTAGTTCGAACATTTATCGATGAAGCTATTGAACATGGAAAACAAATTGAAAATTTAAAAATTCAAAATTCATTAACTAAAGAAGCTAGTGAATGGATACCAGCTGAAGATGTAATTAGTGAAGAAAATAATAAACAAATATTAACTAATCATGAAGAAGAAATAGAGTAAGGAAAATAATAGAATAAAAATATATTTGTATTCGTTTTTTTTTTTTAAAGTAATGAGATACCAACATTTTCAAAAGAACCAGATGGTCTTGATCAATCTGATACAACAACAAATGAAACTAATGATGATGTAGGAAAATTTTTTTATCTTTGAAATTTTTATGTTTCTTTTTTTTTAGGAAGAACTTATGCTTGATCTAGCTCGACTTGTTGATGATAAACGTAAGTATTGAATAATATTTTATTGATAGTTGATTGAAAAATACTAGTTTAGTTTTGATCCGCATTTTGTGAACTATAGCTTTTTTTTCCTATAAGCTTCTATCAACATAATTATAAAAAACTTTACAATTTACATAAGCCCCTTTTTTAATAGAATGACAATGTCGTAGGTTATATCAAAATAGTCTATTTATGGAATAATTAATCCAAAAGTTCATGTACATCAAAACAGTACGACACTATTTAAAGATTGATTATTAGTTTTTTATTTTTGATGATGAAGAGTTCACTTATGATTATAACAATAATATAAAATTTTCAAGGTTTATGATTCGATATTCATAGTTTATTTTAAGAAATATTTTATATTTGACGCATTATAATTATTATTTAAATAAATTTCATGACTTTATACTATTTGAAAAAAAAAATTCATCTTACAGCTGTTCATTAATGAAATGAGTTATATGTTTTTTTTTTTCTTTTAATTAATTTAATTTCAGTTGATGAAACACGTGATACAAGTCCACGAAAATCTCTTGATAAAGAATCTACTATACAAGTTGATGATGATAGAATAAAAAGTATTATTGAAGAATCTACTAAAACTATTAATGAAGAACCAATTAAACCTATTGTTTCACATACACGTGAACAAGTTATTCAATTATGTCATGAAGCATTAATAATTTTATATAATCAAAATAATGATTTTTCTGATCGATTAACTATCAATCGAACAATACCTGATTCATATTTTAATTATGAACAACAAGGTTATAATAAAAAAACTTTATTTTGTTGTATTTCTATTTATTTTTTTTGTTTTATTAAATTAGATTCTGATAATGAAGATATTCAACGTAGTCATCATGCTTATTATCGAATGATATTTGATTTATGTGTTGAACTTTTATGTGAAATGTATTCACCAAATGTTCGAATAACAAAATATCCTGAATGGCAAAAAACAAAATTAATTCGTAAACGTTTTTATCGTTCACATAAACCAAATAATATTAATGAAGCTGAATATTTTATTCAAAAAAAAATTTTAGAAATCTTAAATTTAATTCCAAATCATATAACATATCCAAAATGGCGTATATCATCAATAGGACGACATTCTGATACAGAACAATTTGAAAATGTTCTTGATGAAGAATTACGTCGTACAGAAAGTCAATGGATTGATTATGAAGATGATTGTTTAAGAATTAAATTTGATATAGCTGAATATATATTTGATCGTTTATTACAAGAAACATTAACAGAATGTTTTCATATTGTTAATAAACGATTAGTTTTTGAGCAGTAAATAGTACAGATCTTTAAAATTTTTTGGACAAAATAATCAATTACTTTATGTGAAATCTTTATTTATTCTAGAGAAAAATATTTTGTTTTTTTTTTTTGTAAATTCTTTGTTATGATGTACGTGTCAATTTCTTCTTCTTCTTTTTTTCATGAGACAATTCATATTTTTTGGCTTTTTGTTATTTTGTTTGTTTTGATCTAGTACAGAATTTGTGTGTGAAAATAAGACATGTTTTTTTTTTTTTTTCTTTTTACACGTGTGTTGTTTGCGTGTGTACTGACTAAAACTTATTTGGTTTATTCAAATGGATAGGACAATCAGAAAAATAATTAATAAATAAATCTATATATATATGAATTTTATTAATGATTTAATTTGTAAGGAAACAAGTAATAATCAATAAGTTATGAAAATGTTTTAATTTTAATTGTTATTCTTATTGGCGCCTGAAAGAATTTTAAGTAATCATCAGTTAATATTTTTTGGTATTCGACAATTAGAATTTTATTAATTTTTTTTTTGTTGACTGTTACAAAATAAGATGATTAGACCAGAAAAAAACAGTATTTTTTCTTAAGAGTACAAGATTATTTCAAAAAAATTTTTTCTTCCTATTTTTTATTTGCAAAGAACATAATCATCAAAGAACAAAACATATTACAGATTCTTTTCCAATCTCAAAATCAAATTTTGGTGAACGAAATATTCGACCAAGAAAACGTTTATTAAACGATGATTATCTATGTAAGATTTAAATAATATTCAATATGTTTTATTGGTATTTGAATAAAAGATTGTGATAATTGTCAAAAATACAGTCATGGGTTATGTCCACAAGGATGTCAAACTTATGAATCTAATCATCAAGTAAATAAATTCAATCTCTTTTTCACTGTACATATAAAAGTCTTTCTGTCTACTTCTAAAAATAGGCTGATCATGCTAAAAATACTGTACCTGTTGGAATAAAAATTTCTACTTCAAATATTCCAACTGCTGGATTAGGTGTATTTGCTATTAAAGAATTTCCTAAAAATACATTTTTCGGACCATATACTGGTGAACGACATAGATCAACTGAACGAGCTAATAAATCTGGTTATGTAATTTATCAAGAAAAATATTTGAAAGAAATTAAATTTGTTTATCATAGGCATGGACGATTGAAGATGCTGAAGGTAATGTTTATAATTATATAGATGCTAGTAATCCAAGTCATAGTAATTGGCTTAGGTAAAATAAGAATGATTATTGATTGATCGATTACTAATAAAAAAAAAAGATTTCTTAGATATGTGAATTGTCCAACGAGACAAGTAGATGAAAATTTGATACCAGTTCAATTTAATGGTGAACTCTACTATCAAACATCACGTGATATAAAAGCAGGCGAAGAAGTAGAATAATTTTTCATTATAACAAAAATAAACTAGTTTTAATTGAATTTCATTTTCTAGTTATTTGTTTATTATGGTGAAGAGTAAGTTCTTTTTTATTCATATAATAATTCTATTATTGTATTATTCAAGATACGCTAGAGCACTTGGTATTAATTCGTTTGAAAATTCCTCAAGTAAATAAATGAGACATAATTAACTATTTCTATTTTTTTGAATATCTTCAAGTTGAAGAAAATCAAATGATTGTTTCACCATCACCTAAGTCAACTTTGTTATCTTCTTCAATTGCACCACTGAAAAAAGAACAACAACAACAACAAATTAATTCATCAAAAAAGCGCAAAGGATCGAAAGAGACATTGTTGAACAATAAAACACGATATCTATGCCATGTCACCAAATGAAATCATTTTTCTTGTTAAAAATTAAATTTTGTTTGAAACTAAATATTTTGCTCTCCATATATTCTAAGGTCATTCGAAGAAGAACAGATTTTTTAACGAATATAAATATATATATTCCTATGATGTCATCTAATTTAGCGATTTTTTATAACGGAACTGAATTTTGAATTGTAATAGAATTCAGATGCAAGTGTTGTCCATTTTACTTTCATAGACAATCGATTGATTATCATTGTATTCATTCAAACTATCATCAAAAATTTTGTACAGTCATCCTCGAAGTTAAGCTCCACAAGACTCGTACATAATCAACAAATCGATGTCAATATTAAATATATGATTAACTTGAATTTGACATGATTGTAAAACTAGATTCGTCATTTGTATAGTTTATGATTCGTCAAAACTCCTTCTGAACAGGTAAGCCAACTTTTCGTTGAGTATAGTTTAAAAAATTCTTTATAGTGCATCACTTAAATCAGAATTTTTATTTTGGTTCACATTAACACACTCATCAGTAGTTTAACCTTCTAATATTCAAAAACTAGAAATTGTTTTGGTTTTAAGAGGCCATACCAATGAGCAGAAGATTCATGTTCATCTAGATTCAATCCTTATTCAATACCTGATCAGTGCAAACATTTTCAAACTAATTAATATTTCTCCAATTTATTTGGTAAGCAGTGATCGTTTGCTTTTTCGGACAGCATAAAATATTAGGACTAGACTTTGCTTCATTTGTGTTCGGTATGCTGTTGTATATTAATTGGTGAACTCGATAATTCCATTTTTTTTTGCCAATGTTGTTCTCTTTTTCTTCTCTCTTGTAGGGTATGCACAAGTCTAGCCTTTTCTAAGTATTGAAGAAGATATTTTCGAATTTATTTGAAATGCACAGTGAGTTAGAATGATATTTGCAATTATTTTTACGAGACTTGAAGATAATTGGTGCCTCAATTTTTGAAAAAAAAACAAAAGATACCTAAGTTAAGAGACGTCACAGTAGTCAGACTGATAAAAAGATAGACTTTAGAGATATCCTCATACAATGTAGATCAAGGGTGTGGGTGTGGGTGTGTGCTTCACAATGTATACCCACACCCATACCCTCGAAAACTTAAGGAAAGCGATACTAATTTCACAGTGGTACTTATTTTCGTTGTTTCAACAATGTTGAATGATTTTATTTTATTGATCTACTGCTTGTCTTCTTTGTATTTGAATATTATATTCTTCAGTTCAGCTCTCTATCAATTCGATAAATAAAACAATCTTTTACAAAAAATAATGTGAACCAAGGTAAGATGCATTTTCACGCGAAAGGCTCTTGAGCTTAATCAATTTATCAAGCAAATGAATGCTCAAACACCTTGATTACAACTAAACGTCGATGAACTTTGAATGTAAAATAAGTCTTACATTTTTTGCAATACATCCTATAGACTTGAAAAACGATAAGATGAGAAATATATCGGTGATTCATATTATCATTGTTTGTGAAAAGACTGAATTTAAAATCAAATTAACTTGATTATCATTACTTCTCTTGTCATGTATCACAGGTGATTTAGTATTAATATGTTCATCTTTCGTCAATAATCTATTATGAGCCGAATTTGAATTCATGTCGTTATAGCAATTATTAAATGCAAATTATGCATACGATTCTAGTAGAAAGAAAGACAGTCCATTCTAGAATAGCACTCTCACTTTTCTTATTTTCTGATATTGCAAATCAAAAGAAATTTCTATCTAGTTTTTTATATTCGAGACACGGGTATGACGCAGCTGGTAAGGTGGTCTATGTACAATTTTTAAAAGGTAGGAAAAGAGGTTGAAAAGTTTCTTTTTGTTTCATTCTGCAATCCTTTTCAACAAAAAATGATTTTTACTTGGAAAAGAAGGAAATCTTTCAAAGATACGAGAAGGTGGTGAGACGTCCCATCCAATCGTCACATTCCTAGTTCGAGAGGAGAAATTTAAGTATTTCGTGCTATTCTAACGTAAAAGAAATCAATACGAAACTTGAAAGAAAGTAACAAAAAATTGAATTAATTATTTATTTAGAAAAATATATTCTATGTTCTGAGTCAGCATTAATCTCACTTGCTTATAATATATAATTTTATAGCATTTAAGTTTTTTCTGTGATTCTTCCGAGGTAAGTCAAAGATGCAAAATGAAAGTCGTTCTCGACAGAAAAAAAATACATCTAATTTAACTTGGAATTTAATGCTAATTCCGAATATGTTATTTCTTTTGACGATAACTAATTGATGCCCCATTCTTTTTTCCATTTTCATATTTGATCAGCATAAATGATTTAGCTCTCTTAACAGCAACGAAGAAAATTTCAAAGAAAATCTTAGAATTGACTTTCACTTTTCTTATGAAACACAAGTTGCAAGGTGTGAATGTTGAACACAACGACAACCACACCTCATCTCACTCACAAAGCTCAAATAAATAAACTTTGCAAAAGGATAAAAAACGTTTTATTTGGTGTAAAATCTGATCATGCGAAGTATTTTAATTAAAGAGTAAAAATATCTGTGATATAAGCGTATTTAGCTATCTGTTAATAATACATTCGATTTGTCCCATCGTACTACGCAAATTAATAAAGTTGCAAGTCATAGCACCAACTCAAGTGAAGTTAAGACTGTGACAACGAAAAAACCTTAAGTACCGAGCAGATCGAGCGAAACTTTGAGACTAAAAAACAGTACAGTATCAAATATGAATGAAGGCAAAGAACCAAAAAAGAGTAGGATATCGGGGGTAACCTTTTCATCGCCCACATCCTTTCCATTGACTCATAATCGATATCGGGAAGTGATTATATTGCGCTCACTGACAAACATACAGAACGGAAAAAGAATATGCTTGGATTTTATCCAACTACTCTCTTTTCTTACACTTGGAAATATCCAAGAAAAAATCAAATCTTACCGTTTTTCCAATATCTAATAAATGTCAGCGATGATATTTATCATTCTTCACTGAATAACATGTATATTTATCTACAGCATCGTCTATGTATATAAATTGTGTGACAATGATCATAAGTCTCATACTCGACATACATCATCATCATCGCACAATTTAAGTAAGTTACATACTAACAAATGTTTATTTTATTCTGAATATAAATAGACCTACCGATATTAATGCGATAAAAATAAAAAGAAAGTAACATTCATCTAGATTTTATTCAATACATCAATAATCAAAGTTAATAATTCGATACATGTATATTGTTAGCTATATTAAAATTCGAGTTGAGATATATTCATACAATCGAAATTATTAAAGTCTAAATGAATAACGAACTTTTTTATTTATCTGAGCGAATTGCAAGGCAAAATATTCCGATTTATTCACTCGGCGTGATACAATCACGTCGTTTGGGCTTGCACATTCGAAAGTAATATTTTGTAGACTACTTGTCTGTACGATCGAATGTTTGTTGAGTTGTTGTATACGACTCAGACATTTTTTTAATTAGATTGTAATGCATAAATTTGCATTTGTGTTGCTTAAAAACACGACCTTTATGATGATTATTTTTTCTTATGTCGATTGAAGTTGATCGTTGCATGACTTTATTTATAGTCGAATTTTAACTTTTTATACAAGATGAGTTATTATTAAAATTAAATCAAAGTATTCAATTTTGGTAGAATAATCTTTATGAATATTCTATTTAGGAAAAAACATTCCTTTTTTTTCTAATTAACGAATGAAAATTGGTTATTAAATGAAAAATAAAAATGCGAAATTCAGAATTTTGATAGAGCTCAAAAAGATTCGAAATCAATTGAAGCGAAGTCGCATTTTTAATTAGATGGAGATACGAGCAATTTTACATTTATTTCAGAAAGCCATTAGAGTAGTCAGCTTTCAAGTTTTAGTTACAAGTAGATATGTACACGCTGTACTACAGTTCAGTTGAGAATGTAAGATTTTTGGTGGAATGGAGCAATCATAATCATGAAATTTTTGTTAAAGTCAATTTATAGATTGCATGAAGTAATTTTTGGATGTTTACTAGTCTACATACTGGAAAAGTGTTTGGATATATGGAGCGTTTGCTTCCTCTATTTTCTCGAAAAATTAGGCATTCAACAATACCAATTCTTGAGTCAGAGTTGCTTGAATTTGGAATGGATTTGAATAGGAATTGGTGTATGTCTACTATAAATCTGTTACTGCTTTAGTTAGCCATGCACATTTCTATCTCTAAAATTGTAAGCTATTTCCTCATACGTGTAGATAAATTTTGGCGACAAGGTGAATGTTGATATCGAGAGATAATTTTAAATAAGTATATCTGAATCATTGTAGAATAAACAATCATGTACGATAACGACGACAATGATCAACCTTCTGGTTGCTCCAATGGAATATTTGATCCTATCGCTGTTGATAATCGTGAGTAGATTTACTAATTATCTATTGCAAACTAAACATCATATATTTGATTAGAAGCCATCCAAATGATCTTGGCTGCAGACAAGAAAGTGAGCAAATTTAGAATATAAGATGTACTTCATTTTCATATTCTATTCAAAGGATGATTGACTATCGAATATGTAAAACAACGACCCGTAATAAAAGTGGAGGAGATGCCGCTTATCAAACTGGGACAATAGTAACAATAAACTTGCAATAGAATTAAATAATTTGTTACAAAAACTAGTCACTTAAGGCAATAATAAAAGCGAAAGCATGCTGTTGCAGAAAATATACATTTTTACTTGTTAAAAATAAAAATATTTCAATCATATTCTGTTCGATTTCAAAGACTGGGAAATGTAAAATCTAGCTGACCCTTTTAAGTCAACATGACAAGTTCTTAATGAAAACTGTTTTGAAACCAGCTAAGGTAAACAGACATCCTATCTTAATTAGTACAGCAATTGTATTTGATCTAAAGCAGCATTATAAATGATACAAACAATGAGATGCATCGCATAATAAAAGGCAAAAGACACATG